TTCATCTGGCTTTGTTCTAGGTGTTTGTGGGTTTAGCCCTGTGTGAGCTGGAAGAGCCGGGTTGAGGCCGGGCTCTCTCCCACTTCCGTGCGGAGGGGAAAACTGAGTGACTGCATTTTAACCGAAAGGGCGCTGTGTGCTCTTCCTTCCTCTCTAGCGTGGCGGAGGTTGCTGCCAGCGCCTCCCTGGGGACCTGTGGCAAATCCCCCCCCCTTTCTTTCCTCTTTCCTGGGGAAATCGGCCCGGGGGCCCAGCCTGTGTCTGGAGGGCAGTGTCCAGAAGATGGACTGGGCTTGGGGGGCGCTCATTTGTAATCTGAATCAGTGAATTGAGGTAATTGATCCCCACGAGTTTTCCCCCACATGCTTTGATTCTCTCCATGTTGAGAGATTAATTTATGTTTGCTGATGAGGATAGGGATCGCTTGGAAATACTACACTTGTGCATTTAAATTGTAATATTTAGCATTTACACTTGCCCCTTGAATAACATGTATTTAAACTGCATGGGTTTTTTCCCCCAATAAATACCTGTACTGTTTCGATCTGCAGATGTAGGTCAACTTCTCTGTATTGATCTATGCTATTTTTTTTATTACTTATTTTTAGTGGGGAAGGTAAGAGAAAGAAAGGGAGCAAAACTTCAATATGTGGTTGCTTCTCGTGCACCTCCGACTGGGGACCTGGCCCACAACCCACGCATGTGCCCTGATTGGGAATTGAACCAGCGACCCTTTGGTTCTCAGCCCGGCACTCAGTCCACTAAACCACACCAGCCAGGGCTGGTCTGTGCTATTTTATATAAGGAACTTGAGCAGTTGTGGATTTTATTGAGGGCAGGTCCTAGAACCAATTCCCCATGGATACCAAGGAACAACTAGGTTTTGGACTCAAGCCATATGTGGATTTTCTACTGTGCAGGGGTTGCTGCCCCAAACCCCTGCATTGTTTAAGGGTCAACTGTATTTCCCTGGCCATTGTGGCCCAGTTGGTTGGAGCATCATTCTGTAACTGAGATGTTGAGGGTTCGATTCCCAGTCCGGGTACATACAGGAGGCAACCAATTGATGCTTCTCTCTCACATCAATATTTCTTTCTTCCTTATTCTCTAAATAGCAATGAAACAATGTCCTTGGGTGAGGAGAAAAAAAAGTCAACTGTTTTAGCACCTGCTGTGTGCTAGGCACTCTTACTTTGCTCTATTCCCCTGTCACAGTGGCCCTGTGAGGTCGTTAGGACTTCACTTTACAGGTGAGGAAGCTGAAGTTGCAAGGGGCAGAGTTTGCAAGGACTCTGGCCCAAGTGCATCACATAACAAAGTCTGTGTGCTTGAGAACAGGCTGTCCTTCTTGCCTAGTCAGTGTCTGAATAAAGGGGTGTCACACATTTGAAAGTTGAGGTGCAGAGTCTCCGGGGTTAGTGGTCAGCCCCCCGCCCCCTTTACTGGGAAGCTGCCCTCTCGGCCCCCACCACCTCACTCATTAGTCCATCCCCGCCTGCCCACCTCTCCGCCCACCCCTTGTCTCTTGCCATCCTGCATGAGCTGCATTAGTTGAGCTCCCTGCTTCCCACCACGCAATACTATTAAGTAGAAATAGTGAGTTGGCTGCGCAGATACGGGATCCTGAAAAGTCTCTCTGTGCCCCTCCCACCGCACAAGGGGATTTTGGCGTGCTGCCCCTGGGACTCGAGTCCGTGCTGGCTCCTGGCTGACGGTGGGCCTGCGGGGCCGAGAGCAGCGTGTCTCCTTCTCCACATCACCAGTAGCCCCTGCCTTGCCATGGTCAAGGAGAGGGGACTCTGAACGGCCTCGGCCTGCCACCTTCCTCCCCATGTAGAATGGGGTCCCCACGTGAGTCCCGCCTCACCCCACTTCTCCCTTCCTCTCAACCTGAGAAAATCTCCCTACCATCAGTAAGCCCGTTTACCAGGAGACACCAGGGAAGCACCCTAAGGTTGCGCTGGGCAGGTTTTGGACCCGTCCTCCCACCAGGGGACACAGGATGTCTGGTGAGCTGACCAGGCACTGGACAAGGGGCACTGAGACCTCCAGCTCCCGGCCTGGGTCCTCCTGTGGAAGCCCCTCCCCTGTCTGCAAACAGAGGGCATTAGAGCTGGGGTCCTTTCTGCAGCTCTAACATTTCACAACTGCTCTTAAGCAGGTGCAGGGTGGTGACTGGAGTGTTCTCTGAATTGGGCTGGGTCAGAGATGGTTGCTACAAGTTTCAGAATTCAGAGGTGGGAGGAGGGGGCTGGTGCCTGTGCAGAGATTTGGTTTTCGTTGCGAGTTGTTTCAGATGCCAGGTGCCATATATAGATTGGGGACTGTATAGATTGGGGGGGTGGTGTTTGCCTGGTAAAGGTAGGTGGGAGGCTGTGGGGGGGGTGGACTCTGAAAGGGATGTGTAATTGAGGTCAGTAAGCCTAGTCTTTTTTCCACCCTCCCTCAGGGCTTAACAGCAGCTCCTGAGCCTTCCGGGATTTCCCTAGGTCCCACAGGATTTGAACAGATCTAGGAATATTTTTTAAAGGCAGAAGTAGTTCTGTCTCCCTGGTGGACTCTTCTGTCTCTTGGAGGACTTGGTTCTTCCTTGGGATAGGGGCAGCCCGACACCCTAGCTGGGAGCAGAATAAGAGCAGGCCGCTGTGGGTCCTTGGGACAGGTGGCCATTAGCTAAGGGTAGGGCTTTTTCAGCAAACTTCACACAAGACTGATGGAAGAATGTTCTGCGTGTGTCCAGACTTCCCTGGACATTCCCTGTCAGCTTGAGATTTGGTGGAAGTGGAGGGAATCAGTGGGATCTTTTAGCAGTGGGAGCGCTTTCCCCTTAACTGGAGACTGAGCTTTTAGTGCTGACCATGTGTCCTTTCATGATCTTGGTGAACAAAATATCAGGCAGGGTGATCATAGGATCTGACTCTTCCAGTTTTGAAAGAGTTTTTGTTAGAAGAAACAGACAGGGACCTCAAAAACTTTGCCTTACCTTTTCCAAGAAAGTCTTCAGGAATAACTCATCAACCAAAACCGATTCCCGTTTCCACCTTGTCAATGAACTTGTTGCGGACCCTCGCCTGTGTTTGTCCTGGGAGCGCGCAGGGGGTGCGGGGCCAGGAGGAGCGGCCGCCACCAGAGCACCGGTGCACGGTGTACTCGAGGAGGCTGACCCTGTAAGGAAATGGCTGCCTCTGCCAGCGGCCTCGTCGGAAGCAGCCTTGGCAGGGCACTGGGTAGTGGTAGGCTTCTCTGGGCCAACCCGGGATTAGCAAGAAAATCGGTGTGAGGTAAGCCTCTTTCTGGCCTCAGGGTTCCACCCTGCAGGGACGGAGCGAGTTCTGGCTCTCTGCTGCCCAGCACTGGGGCTGGGGCGAGCTGGGGAACTGGGTTCCATGGTCGCATGTCTCCCAGGAGAGTAGGGTGTCTCGAGGGGCCAGTGGCTCGGCTCTGGAGCGGAAGCCAAGAATGCAATGCCTTTCAGTTCGAGTCGGGCCAGGACTCGCTCTGCTCATTAAGGGAACGTGGGTCTGGTCAAGGACTAGAACGTTCCTTTTGAGACCAGCCCTGCACATTTCTCTGCTCGAGAGAGTCGGGGCAGCTCTCGCCCTGGCATGGCTGACCAGCAGTGGGGGCAGAGGGGTGGAGGAGTGGGTGAGAGCAGAGTCCCGCGGGGCTCTGGGGGAGGGAGGGTTCAGAAACTCTTGTTCTTCCAAATGTGTTGAGAACACAAGTGGAGGTGTGGAGGGGACCAGGCCTGTTACAGCCACTTCCTACACACACACACACACACACACACACACACACACACACTTTGTTTTCTTTTTCAAAGCTTACACCTGTCTTTTTTTGACACTGCTAGAGAATTCCAAACAAAATTAAATCACTATAAACATACTACTTTACTCCATAACTACTTAGTTTTATGTCCTTCCAGAGTGGCCACTATGTAGATGTGAATATACACATTTTTATTTGTTTTACAAAAGTAGGATTGTAACTTTCCTCATTTACTATTTATCTCTTCCTATCAGTAGAGATCATCATCTTTTCATGGCTATAAACATTGTTAAACTTTAATTGAGCCAGTTTCCTACCGTTGGACATGCACTGTATTTTGCTGTGTATAATGTGCACTTTCCCGCCCAACCTTTTGAGGAAAAATAAGGATGCGCATTACACGTGGGTGTAGTGACGACATGCCATGGCCATAATAACCCCGTGTGTGATGCGCACAGAAACGTGGGTGTGCACGATACCTGCCAAAGTGCAGTGAGTTGTTTTCACTGTTTTGAAGTTATAGGCAGCACTTTGATGGACATCTTTTCACATAACTCTGAACACTGGTCTAATTTGTATCAAGATAAATTCCTAAAGGCAGAACCATTGAGTCAAATGAGGGCGGGGGGGAGTCTCACTTTTTCTTTGGAAGCTTGCAAGGTAGACAGGATTTTCCTGAGTGACTGTCTTTCCTGTTGACCACAGGCCGTTGAGGACCACGCCGGCCCTCTGCGTGAGGGCTTAGGAGAGGTTCCTGGGCTTCTGGGCTGCCCAGTTAGAGTTTGTATCTCACTTCCCCCGTGACCGCTAGCCCATGTCTGCTCACACACACAGTCTCTTAGAATGTTAGAATCAGGGAGGGTCTTGTAGACCCTTCCTGCATGGAACCTGAGGGCTAACTCTGGCATGGACTCAATCTGCCCTGGACTCACCCTCTCCAGGCCTCGGGGCCCTTTTTACAAGAGGGCACGGGGCTGCGGGAGCCTTCCCACCTCAGAGTCCAGTGCTGGGGCTGGGGACGGCCGATTGTTTCCGTGAGCTCACTTTCTATGATTTCTTCAGACAGGCTGGTAAAATTGGCATTGGTGTGTGAGCACGTGCCCTTTAACTCACTGCCCTGTCTGCCTGTGGCTGCATGCTGGAGCGGGAGTGGTGACGGCAGTGAGGAGCTGGTGGTGGCCCTGCCCCACAGGTTCTGAATAACCATCTCTCCCTTCTCGCTCCCTCAGAACCTTCTGCTCCAGCCAAGGTGGTGAGGGCAGCAGTTCCCAAACAGCGCAAAGGCAGCAAGGTAAGGAGTGGGAGTGGGCCACCCAAGGGGAGGACTTGCTGGAGGTGGCAGTCTCTTTTCTGTTCTAGCCGAGGGCTTCTGAGCTGCCAGGTAGTTCTGGATTCTTTCTAAAGAGCAGGGGAGCCGCTTCTGGGGCTCCAGCGTTGATGGTGGTGGGCAGACTGATCTTGGCCTCTGATTTCTTGATGGAGCTGCGTTTGGGGTGAGAGGATGAAGGGCACAGTCAGGGTCACCCCAGAGCCCTCACAGAATGTGCCTTGCAGGTTGGTGACTTTGGAGATGCAATCAACTGGCCCACACCTGGAGAGATAGCCCACAAGAGTGTGCAGGTGAGTCGGAAGGACGGGATGGCTGGGATGGAATTCTGTCTACATGTACACATTTTTGGTTTCGCAAGCTTTCAGAGCTTCAAGTCTTACCTTAAGAGGAATGGGTAGTATAATTGGGGCGGCATCAAAATAGCTAAAAGTCACTGTTTGAGCCCTGGCTGTGTATCAGGAATTGCTAGGTGCTGTCTGTTCATCATTTCATCTAACCCTCACAGTGACTCCAAAGTAGGCCCTTGAATAATTCCCTTTTACAGATGAGGCCACTAAGGCTGGGAGAGGTTAATTACTGTCCCTTTAGGGCCAAGTGGTACTTGGGAGTCACAAGTATTGCATTATTCCAGAACCTGTGTTCTCCGTCACTGCACTTGAATTGCCAGCGAGTGAAGCGGGAGAGTGGTCATTGGCCAGGTGCCCCTAGACCACGTGTCTTGGGGAAGCTGTGTAGCTGTACTTAGTCCTAGCAGAGGGAGGGGCTCCTGGTCAGTCCTGTCCTTCCCTGTGCTTTTGTTCTAGGCTGACGGTCTAGGTCCCTCCCTGGTTGTGGCCACCGGCCTCCAGTTGGCAGATAGGGTAGGTGTGGACAGGCGTCGGACCAGCCTCTCCTCCATCCCCCGCAGACTACCTGGACATGGTCCTGTTGCAGGGAGTAAACATTTGACTTTTGCAAGCCCCAGTCCCTCTGTCCTGGAGGTTGTCTCCCACCTCCTGCCTGTTGGACCACGCTTCCCAGTGAAGGCGTCTCAGGCATGAAAACAGGACCTTTAGAATTTATCAGCCCAACCTGCTCTCACGTGCTCCAGCTACTTCTCCCCTGTCTTTCTAGTGATGGGGGCTCCCTTCTGTCCCACCCCAAGAGACTCTCAGACTCACCACACCTGTCACTTTACTTCCTGCTGCAGCCACAGCCCCACAAGTCTCAGCCTGCCCGTAAGCTGCCACCCAAAAAGGACATGAAGGAGCAGGAGAAAGGAGAGGGGAGTGATAGTAAGGAGAGCCCGAAAACCAAATCGGATGAATCAGGGGAGGAGAAGAATGGGGATGAGGACTGCCAGCGAGGGGTTCAGAAGAAGAAAGGTGAGTGACTTGGAGCAGGGCTTGGGAGAGGGTGGCAGGCGGCACTGTGAGATGGCAGGATGTGAGGGCTGCAGAGGACTCTCGGGGGGTCCCTGAGACGTCCTCGGGAGGCTGGCTGGCTGGCGCAGGCCCCTGGGCCAGCAGTCTGCACCTCCGCCGCCAGTCCATCAGATTCTTCTCTCACTAGACAAGCATTGGTAAGCCTGTTGCGAGCGCGGGGCTCTGGCAGTGCACGGGACAGGTGAGGCCCCGCCTCAGAGTACTGTTTATATGTCTCAATGCATTGCTTTCCTGTGAAAGATTTCACTTAAAGACAAGAGTTCTCATTGCTCTGGCCGGAGCTAAGATTAGGGCACAAGTTCGGCTGGTCTAATAGAGATCCCAGAGTAACAGTGTTTTAAACAAGATGAAATTTACTTCTCTCACCTGACAGCTCAGTGTAAGTAGACCAGGCCCCGGATAACAACTCTTTGATTCCTCGTGTCTTGCTTTGGTGTGTCGGGGCCTCTCATGTAACACAGCTTGTCCTTATCCCCTCATCCCAGCTAGCAGGAAGGGACGGGGAGAGCGGCTCCCTTTTAGGGACTCCACCTGGGGTTGACTGCCTTCCTCAGCTCTCACAGCCAGACCTTTGGCACGAGCCTAAGGGGAGCCTGGGGAGCGCCATCCTGATGCTGGGCAGCCATGTGTCTAGCTCCAGAATGGTGTTCTCTGACCATGGAGAAATCGGTGTTAAGAGTCAGTCACCCAGCAGTATCCATCACCCCGAGGTCCATGACCTCCTTATTTAATTTAATTTTTATTTTATCTAATTTTATTTTCCATTCATTCATTTTCATTCATTCATTCTCACCTGAGGACGTGCCTCGATCAGTTGCCTTTTTCACATGTCCCAGCCAGGGACTGAACCTGCAACCAGCCATGTGCCTTGGCTGGGAATTGAACCCACAACCTTTCAGTTTATGGGACAATGCTCCAACCAACTGAGCCACACCACCCAGGCCTATGACCTCCGTATTTTAGAGATGAAAATGATGTCCAGCATGGGAGAGGAATTTGCCCAAGGTCACCAGGCTGTGATTCAGGCCTGAAGCCCCACACTGGGGAGGAAGGTTGTGGATAGAGATGGCTGGGAAGGACCTCCTGCAAGCCTGTCTCGTGTGCCCATGCTGTCCTCCAGGGAACAAACACAAGTGGGTCCCATTGCAAATAGACATGAAGCCTGAGGTGTCCAGAGAGAAACTGGTCTCACGCCCTGCCCGCCCACCAGAGCCAAGACACACACCTGCCAACCGCGGGGAGATCAAAGGTATGTGCCACCTACTATGGGGGGCCTGGGCATGGAGGTCCCTCGGGCCTGACCCAGAGCCCTCTCTCCTTGTAGGGTCTGAGCCTGCCCCCTACGTGCCTGTGCCTGTGGCCCCCCCTACCCCAGCCTGGCAACCAGAAACCAAACCGGAGCCTGCCTGGCCCGACCAGGATGAGACATCGAGTGTGAAGAGTGATGGGGCTGGTGGGGCACGGGCTTCCTTCCGCGGCCGTGGACGGGGGCGTGGTCGTGGCCGGGGACGCGGCCGGGGTGGCGCTCGAAGTACGTGAGGCCCCTTTGGGCTCCGGGATGTCCCAGGGAGTGCGGCGGGGCGGTGGGCACGGGTCGCCTCTCCCTCATGGCACTCGTTTTCCCTGTAGCCCATTTTGACTACCAGTTCAGCTACCGAAAATTCGATGGTGCAGAGGGGCCTCGAACCCACAAGTACATGAACAACATCACCTACTACTTTGACAATGTCAGCAGCACTGAGCTTTACAGCGTGGACCAGGAGCTGCTCAAGGACTACATCAAGCGCCAGATGTGAGTGGGAAGGGCGTCTTCTCTCTGGACGGGCGGGTGGGGGTCTGGGGGCTGCCTGAGTTTGGCAGCCGGGCAAAGTGGGGCTGCACCGGCCCTTCATTTGCTGCCCTGGCTGGAGCTAAGAAAGATGACTTTCATCTTTTAAGCTAATTTTTCACAAAGTTATTGTTTATTACAGAAGTAATACCATATTTACCTTAGGAAAATTATAAATTGCCACTAATAAAATGGAGAGCAAATGTCTAGATTCAGTCCCTCTCTGTGCTCCTGTTTGTAATGGCTGCATTGCCAGAATGCTAGCAAATGCTTATTGAGTCCTAACTATTGGTGACTCTCAAGTGCTTGACAGGCATTCTCATATTTATTTAATCCTGCAGTTATCGACTTAATTCCTCTGAGCTGGGTCTTAACCCCATCTTATGGATGAGTAAACAGGCCCAGTTCTTTGCCCATTGTCTCAGCTAGTAAGTGACAAGGCACAGAGTTGAATCCACTTCTGTCTGATGGCAAAACCCTAGCTCCAAACTACTCCAATTTATTATCTTTCAGTCCACTGAGGGAGCCACACAAGGAAATAGATGTGGCATCGTGGCACGTAGAATGTGATAGTGGTTTAGAAGCAGAACAGAGGGAGTTTGCCAGGCATGCAAAAGGGCTGAAGGGCGGAGGGAATGGCTTCACCCAAGGTTAGGGAGCCACAGGTGGCTACCATTTCTTTCAGTCCCTAAAACCAATGTATGTACACTGGGGGTTCAGGGGTTAAGTCAGAGGCCGCTGAGGTTGCTGGGGTGTACGGCAGAACTGGGAAGACCTACCTGTACGTGAAGCAGCAGTTACACCCGTTCTCCCCTCCCCCTAGTGAATACTACTTCAGCGTGGACAATTTACAGCGAGACTTCTTCCTGCGACGGAAAATGGATGCTGACGGTTTCCTTCCCATCACTCTTATTGCTTCCTTCCACCGAGTGCAGGCCCTTACCACTGACATTTCACTCATCTTTGCGGTATGTCTCCCTCCCTGGGGCTGGGGGTCAGGGGAGAGGATGGTCCCAGATTACGGAGCTGGAGTTTGGGCCCCCATTTGATTCCCTCTGCTAAAGATCCGAGGCTTGGCCAGCCTCTCTCCCCACCTCCTCTCTCTCTCTCTCTCTCTCTCTCTCTGCAACTCATGGCCCGCCTAAATTCCATCTACCCCCTAATCTGTTTCCTCCCTCAGATTACTTTGAAGACAGTATCTGGTAACGAGTACCTATCTCTAAAAGATAAAGACTTGTTTTTAAAAATAACCACAACATTATTATCCCGTGTAAAAGTATCAGTAATTCCTTAAGATCACCTATATTTGGTCAGCTGCAAATTCACTCCAGTTGTCAAAAACAATTTCTTTTAGGCCCTGGCCTGTGTGGCCCAGTTGGTTGGAGCATTGTCCCATAACCCAAGGGTTGCAGGTTCAATCCTTGGTCAGGGCACGTACCTGGGTGGTGGGGTCAATCCCCAGCCAGGGTGCTTATGGCAGGCAGGCAGTCGATGCTTCTCTCTCGCATTGATGTTTTTTTCCCTCTCCCTTCTCTTCTCTAAAAGCAGTGAAAAAATGTCCTCAGGTTAAATAAATTTTTTTTTCTTTTAGTAGTTTATGAGACCCATGTATTGTCTTAGGTCCCCCCTACCTTTTTCTTGTAATTTATTATTTGAATAAACTGGGTTATATGTCTTATAGGACACAATGGTGTCATTTAACATGTCCTATACTCCAGATTTTTTGTAAATTGGTGATCCAAAGGCCTGGTCAGATTCAGGTTTGGGGGTTTTTCCCCCCTCCTTGTCAAGAGTACTTGGTAGATAATTTGGTTCTTCCCCTTATGATAAAGCTTCTACTGATGACCCTTGCCTATTATTTGCCTGTTGGGGGATTGAAAAACGGTGATCCTCTAATTTTATCAATCCATCTTCATTTGTTAGCTGAAATACTTCTTTAAGGAGGACCTTTGCTTCACCAACTATTTAGTTCCCAAGAGGTATATAATTTGTACAGGAAGGATAGGCGAATGTTTGATCTTTACTTTTATTAACCAGTTTTCAGAGTTATGAGTTGATCCCCAATAATCTTCATGGTAACCAGTGAGGTCTGGGCTTTTTTTGTTTCTTTTTTGGGTTTTTTAAATTTTTGTCACTATCAACTTACAGATTCAGACATACTCTGTTTATTTCAGTGTGTCGGGGTCGTCCCGCTCAATCACATTGTCCCGCATTTGGCCAGTGGGGCGCTGGTGCGTCTTGTGCGCTTCCTGCTCGAGGTCTGGAATTGACCGTTTTGGGCCGGGCGATCTGGTTCTTCTGTTTTGGGGAAATGGTATATAATTAGATACCACACATCTGCGTTAAAGGGGTATTAATTGCTACTTGATTGTTCATTGTTTCTAGAGGTTTTGAGGGGGTTGTTTGTTTTCTAGTACATCATGAGGTTATACTGTTATTTTTCTGTTAAAATTCAGGGCTACTGAGTCATAACTGCCTTCATAATATTTCTTCTACAACTACTAAAAATTGGGTTTTCTCCCTTCTACTTACAAAGTCAGATGACTGTATTTTCAACTTACAAAAATAAATTTTGGACGGTTATGTCTGTAACTTGATATGTTAGTTTCATCTTGCTCTCAGGTTGTTTTTACATTTGTGTAAAACATTTACATGATTCCAAGTCAATAAAGTATATTCACAGAAGTCTGACTTAAAATTCTCTCATCTCTACCTCCCCCACTTCCCCTATAGGTAACCTTTTTTGAATCGTTCCATTAGAAAGTACGCACACACTTCTAAACTTATTTGTCTCTTTCCTCTTTCTTAGATGAGTGGTCACATGTGACACGTGTGTTTCTCCACCTGTTTTATGTTTCCGCTTAATCTGTCTGGGAGCATAGGAGTATGTAATAGAAAGATACTCCTCTGTCCTTTCTTCAGCTGGACTTGCATCTTTTCCTGGTTTTGCCAGTGTGTCTGGTATAAACTCCCAGGAGAAGAACGGCTGAGCTAAAGGGCAGGTGCGGATGCAATTTCGCTTGCTGTCGCCTGGTCCTCTTCCCAGTGACGGGCCTTTTGCGTTCGTACCCGCAGCACCTGAGAGCGCCTCTCCCCAGCCTCGCCAGCAGAGAATGCAGAGACACTTCAAAGTGTTTTCATTGTGTCTTTGTTTTTTGTGGGGTTTTTTTTTTTTCAAGATTTTATTTATTTGTTTTTATACAGAGGGGAAGGGAGGGAGAAACAGAGGGAGAGAAGCATCTGTGTGGTTGCCCCTCATGTGGCCCCCACTGGGGACCAGGCCCACAACCCAGGCATTTACCTTGACTGGGAATTGAACCAGTGACCCTTTGGTTTGCAGCCTGCGCTCAATCCACTGATCTACACCAGCCAGGCCTTGTCTCTATAAAGATTTTATTTAAAAGAAAACTTTCTTCCCCTCTCTACTCTTTGCCTTTTTTCCTAGAGATAAACACTTGTAAATTTTACTTGTTACTCCTAGAAAAATTTGTATTCATATGTTTTTACTTAAACACCAATGGGGTTTTATACTCACTGACCTAGACCTATTTTTTGTGGCTCCTTCCACCTCAGCACCCAGGAAGCTACTTTTTAATGTCTGAGTAGATTTCCATTGAGTGGAGGTGCCATAATTTATTTAAATTGCCTGTGTGGTGGCAAGTAAGGAAGTGTTCACGTTTTTTCCTGTTACAGGCAACATTGCTATGAATGGTCTTTTATGTGTATCTTAACACGTATTGTCACCTGCTCATGCAGGTGTTTCTCTGGGGCAGATTACTGGATGTAGATGGAAGGGTCGGAGGTAGGATGTCTCGCCGTCTACCAGTTATGGCAGGTGGTGCCAGCGTTTAATACTTCTGCCTGCACTGGACTTACAGCTGAGCCCATGGGGTCATCTTCCAGCTTCTAAATCTCAGTCTGTTTAAGTCTTCCCTATCCCTCCTTCTCCCCTGCAGGCCCTAAAAGACAGCAAGGTGGTGGAGATTGTTGATGAGAAAGTTCGCAGGAGGGAAGAGCCAGAGAAATGGCCTCTTCCTGGTCCCCCAATAGTGGACTATTCCCAGACCGATTTCTCCCAGCTTCTCAACTGCCCTGAGTTTGTGCCCCGCCAGCACTACCAGAAGGAAACAGGTAGGTACCCTGCCAGCGTACAGGTGCCTCCCCTTGCCTTTGTCCCCCAGCCAGTGGGCTTCCTCAGGGCTGGCACCAGGAGGAGGAACGGGAGGGATGAGGACCTCACCTTTCCACCCTTCAGAGTCGGCGCCTGGCTCTCCTCGTGCAGTCACCCCAGTGCCAACCAAAACAGAGGAGGTCAGCAACCTAAAGACGCTGCCCAAGGGCCTGTCTGCCAGCCTGCCTGACCTGGATTCTGAGAACTGGATTGAGGTGAAGAAGAGGCCTCGGCCATCCCCAGCACGACTCAAGGTGGGTGCGGCCTGTCGCCTGTCGTTTGCCGTGGGTTGTAGGCCCCAGGCTGGAGTGCTTGGAGGGGGTATCACAGAGCTCTTGGCTCCGAAGGGCTGTTGGGCAAGCTGGTGGCTCGCTGTGGTAGTATGAGCTGAGGTCACTGGTGGCTGCAGGAGCTTGATGTGGCCTGTTTCCACTGTCAGTGGTGATTTTCACGGGAGGAGAGCGTGCAGCTTCTGCCAGCAGTGTTCAGAGTTTCTTGATGCTTGGCTGTTCTTTTGCCCCATCTCAATCCCTGGGGCTGCATTTGAAGTGCCTTTTCCCTGCATTTGTTTTCCTTGCACCTAAATAAGCTCCTCAGGCCCTCAGAAGAGGGGAGAGGGGAAGCATATTCACAGCTTGGATGTGCAGTTGGAGTCTGCAAACTAGAACATAGGCCTCCTGGCTCTTGTGGCCAGTGACTTTGGGAAGCTTGTTTAAGATCTCAAGGCCTCATTTTCCCTGTCTTTGAGGCGAAGGAGGAGTTAGACTGCTATAGAAACAGTAAAGCAATATGGGAAGAGTAGGAATTGAGTTCGCTGTTAAAGCAGTGTTTCACTCTCAGACTGAAGTCACTGCCCGCCTTCCCGGGAGCAGGCTTTTGCTCCATCCACCTTCCCCTCCCTCCACCCTCTTTGGTCTGGGGCTTGTGAGAAGGCCTCAAAGATGACCTTGGACTTTGGGCCTTTTGAATTCTGCACTCCCCTTTTCCATTGTACCACTGTAATCCGTTTTTTCAGGCAGCCTTCCCTGACTCTGCTGCTTCCTGCCCCTGCTGGTGAAGTGCCCCTCTCCCTGTGTAGTTGTACAGGTCCTGTTTGTAGTCTTGACCATATACCACCTTGCACTTGGTTGGCTGATGGTTGGCTTCTCCCACTCAACTGTGAGCTCCTTAGGTTCAAGGACTTTGTCCTGTTTATTTTGCTTTTAGGGTTCTTCATGCAGGGCCTGGTACCAGTGGATATTTGCTCATTCATTAAATAGTGGAACATCTGTTGTCACTAGGTCCCAGTCTAGGTACTGAGGATATAAAGAGCAGTGAGGCAGATGTGGTCCTTGTCTCTCGGAGTGTTATGGGAGGTGCTGGGTGGATGATAAATGATGATTCAGCCTGTTGAACTGCCGCCCGCCCACTCCCAGGCGAGGTGCTGCGTAGGCTCTGGGGGTGAATGAGAACACAGTATCCGCCTGCAGGGAACTGGGCAGCTCATGGCCTATGAATGACTGTGATGTGAGCTGTGTGTAGAGAAACCTGGAATCCTGTGGGACGTCCTTTCCCCTCGAAGCTGCCTCCAAGGCACATGTGACTTACTGGCATTATCAGGACACAGTTGTGGCGATCCAGTGTGTTGAGGGGCTGAGACCTCCATCGTAGGACAGCTACAGAACCTGGTCTAAGGACACCCTGGTGATTCTCTTTCAGAAGTCCGAGGAGCCCAGGTTCCTCCACCAGACCTCTCTGCCTCAGCAGCTGCCCTCTCAGCAGCTGCTGTCCAAGGATCAGGACGAGCAGGAGGAACTGGATTTCCTGTTTGACGAGGAGATGGAGCAGATGGACGGACGGAAGAACACCTTCACCGCCTGGTCTGATGAAGACTCTGACTATGAGATTGACGACCGGGATGTCAACAAGATCCTCATCGTCACTCAGACTCCACCTTACATGCGCCGGCACCCAGGGGGGGACCGCACAGGCAACCACACCTCCCGTGCCAAGATGAGCGCTGAGCTGGCCAAGGTCATTAACGATGGGCTCTTCTACTATGAGCAGGACCTGTGGACTGCAAAGTTCGAGCCTGAGTACTCCCAGATCAAGGTAAGGTTCTGACACGGCAGTGAGGGTGAGACGTGGGGTGCCTATAACAAATGGGGAAGAAGGCTAATGAGCTGCGTGACCTTGGGCACAGAAAGGATTAGATTGTCACTTCTGTTCTTAAGTATTTAAGTGTATGTAAAAATGTAAAAGCTTTTTGAGGAGCTTGCTTTGTGTTTGGAAAATGGAGAAAAGATAAGTCTTTTAAAAATCATTGCTGTTTGGAAACAGTAAAAACCTCTGTTGTAGATTTCTGCAGGGTGGATGTATGGGGTGGGGGGCCTATATAGTAAGTAGCGGTGTGTTTGGTGGGGGTGAAGAGAGGAGCAGAAAGAGATTTGGGAGGAATCTGCACTGAGCTCCTAGGGAGCTGGAATCCTGGCCTGTCTGGTTGCAGAGAGGGCTGGGCTAGTTCTCCCCCTCCCGGGTTAGCACACTGTGCCCCGGTGACCGGGGTTGAGGAGTGACGATGGGGCAGCCGACAGCCTGGGGACCAGAATTCCACGTATGTGGATGTGGGAGCTGCCCTCCCCAGCTTCCTGCAGGTCTTGATTCCTAAACAGGCTAGGGCAGTCCTCTTACTAACATCTTTCCCCACCCGTCTCGTGTTCTCTGCAGCAAGAAGTCGAGAACTTCAAGAAAGTCAACATGATCAGCCGGGAGCAGTTTGACACACTAACCCCTGAGCCACCTGTGGATCCCAACCAGGAGGTCCCTCCGGGGCCACCCCGATTCCAGCAAGGTGAAGGGCGACACTGGGGACATCGGCCTGGGTTGGAGGGTCTGGAGCCCTCTGGCAGGGGGCCTCCAAGGATAGATCAGTCCTGGGCCTGCCCCTGCTCACTGACCCCGCTCTGCCTCTGCAGTTCCCACCGACGCCCTGGCCAACAAGTTGTTTGGTGCTCCTGAGCCCTCCGCTATCGCCCGCTCTCTACCCACCACTGTCCCCGAGTCGCCAAACTACCGCAACGCCAGGACCCCCCGCACTCCCCGGACACCGCAGCTCAAAGACTCAAGCCAGACTCCACGGTTTTACCCGGTGGTGAAGGAAGGACGGACACTAGATGCCAAGGTGAGGCGCTCCCGCTGGGCTGCTGGGAGTCTTGGGCCCACTTCGCTGCGTCTCCGTGCTTGGCTTTGCCCCCTTGCCTGCTCTAAACCAAGAGAGTGCCCGATCCCCCACCTGCTCTGAGTTCTCGGGCTGGTGGGCCCGCCTGGGTGTGGGAGTGGTAGCCCCACGGCGCTGGGATGAGACCTAAGGAGGACTGACCGGGTTTCGTCTCTTGGGCAAGTTGCTCCACTCCTAAGCCTCGACTCCTTTCTTTGTGAAGTGGGCACACCAGCCTCTAGATGTGGACGTTGTGACACAGTAGACAGGAAGGTGGGCCGTAGATTGTGAGAGGACACACACGTGAGGGTCTACTACAAAACGCTTGACGCTCCTTGCGTTGTGTGAGTATAGGAAATAACAAGCCCTGGACTGACCTTTGCAGATGCCTCGGAAAAGGAAGACGAGACACAGCTCCAACCCGCCCCTGGAGAGTCACGTGGGGTGGGTGATGGACTCCCGAGAGCACAGGCCCCGGACGGCTTCCATCAGGTGCGGGGCTGCGGGGAGGGAGGGGGACCCGGCTGGCTCTGGGGCGGGGGGCGGGGAGGAGCCCCGTGAGATCGATGAACCCAGAGAAACGGGACTGGTCCGGAGAGCTGCATCCAAGGCCTGGAGAGGGGGCTTCTTTCTCAGGCGGCAGTGTCACGGCCGCGTGGGGCTGGATTCTCAGAGAGGGTTCTCGGGTCGGTTTCAAAACAGGATGTGTGCTGCCTACCTCAGGGTGGCCAGGGAGCTGAACAAAAACGCATTCCTGGGTCCTACTGGGGGAAGGACCCAGACTCCTTTTTATTCATTTTTAGCAAAATAGTCCCAGTGTTCCCTGTTCCAAAGCAAGGTTTGGGAACTACTGACTGGTGTACTATTTCCTGAAAAGATGGTACGAACCGAAAATAGGCATTTTAAGATAAAGGTAGTGGATTAACCTATACTTGCTCATTCAGGAAAGGTAAATGTTGACTCGAGATAAGTCAGTAGTTAAGAGCTCAGGTTTGGGCATTGTCTACAAATCGCATCGTTTAAACAGCTGCATGACTTAGGATGAGTCTTCCAATTTCTGTCAACCTCAGTGACCCCTTTGTAAAACTCTCTGAAGTTGGATGCAAAGAGCAAGTCAGACGCATGGGTATAAGTCAGAGGCCTAGTACAGCACCGGGGCCTCCCTGTTGGTTGTCCTGTCAGGGGCTGGATCTTGGCGGAGGGAGGAAACTGGAGGGGCCCCTGCTAACCTGATAGCCAGTTGCTCCAGGGAACCTGGTGACACTGTCTCTTCCGTGGCCTCCGTAGCTCCAGCCCGTCAGAAGGGACGCCTACGGTTGGCAGCTATGGTTGTACCCCTCAGTCGCTGCCCAAGTTCCAGCATCCTTCCCATGAGCTGCTCAAGGAAAATGGCTTCACACAACATGTCTACCACAAGTACCGTAGGCGCTGCCTTAACGGTAAGAAGCACAGGGGGAAAGGGCTGGGCCCAGACTCTGGGGCTACTACTTAGGTCTAGAGTGTTGGTGCTGGTGGCGTAGGTGGCTTTTCCCTGACCCCAGAACAAGTGGTGCTACGTTACAGCACGAAGAAAGGAGGATAGACTCAGGCCAGGTAGTGTTGGAATACAGAAGGCCAAAAGTTGTGATGCTCAGAACACTCCCGTTCTTTGACCTTCTACTGATATTTAAACACACATACACTCACAAGCCCTGCCTGTGTGGCTCAGTTCTGCAGGGCATCATCCTGCAAACCGAAAGGTCTCCTGATTCCCAATCAGAGCATGTGCCTGGGTTGCAGGCTCGGTCCCCGGTTGGGGTGTGCACAGGAAGCAACCGATTGATGTTTCTCACATACGTCGATGTTTGTCTCCCTCTTTCTCCTCCCTTCCCCTCTCTGAAATTAAAAATAAAATTTAAAAAATCAAGAGCTGGCCCCGGTTGGTGTGCCTCAGTTGCCCCGGTTGGTGTGCCTCAGTTGCTTGGAGTATCATCTCATAACCAAAAAGTTGCGAGTTTGGTTCCCCGTACAGGCACATGCAGGAGACAGTCAGTCCATGCTTCTCTCTCCCCCTTTGTAACTTTAAAATCAATGAAAAAATGTCTTCAGGTGAGGATTTTTTTAAAAAATCAAGTTTCCCTCAAGTTTCTGGCCAGACTGCCAGCTCCGCCGTCGTCCGCTGTGGTGTGGTCTCCTGTCCGTCCCAGACGGTGTGTGTGAGGCAGCACGTGTTGCTAGAGCGGGCTGCCCACCTGCGCTGTGGGCCAGACCCAGCCAGCAGCCCGTTTCTGTGGAACGCTTTGAGCTGACAACAATTTTTCTGTTTTTAAGAGGTTGTGGAGGGAACCCATATGTGGCTTGCAGTGCCTAAAATATTTACTCTTTGGCCCTTCACAGGAGAAAGTTTGCTGACCCTTGCCCTAGATGATAGTTTAAGGAAGATCCTCTCTAGGTGCTCTCACGTGTTTCCTTTGATCACAAATGAAGTGCCTTTTCACCGTAGGCTTCTGTCAGGTTGGCTGTCAAGTGCTCAAAACCAGTCTTAATACTCACCTGCAGTTACTAACCTCACCCGACCCCCTTTCATTCAGCAAAGCATGGCTGCTAAATGCTTGGTTCTTTGTCTTACTTTCCTCTTCCTCTGCATGGACGCGTGTGTGTGTGTGTGTTGCAACAGCTTTATTGAGATAAAATTTCCATACCAGGCAATTTACCCATTTAAACTATACAATGCGCCAATGGTGTGGAGCACTGGCCTGTGAACCAAAGGGTTGCTGGTCTGATTCCCAGTTAGGGCACATGCCTGGGTTGCAAGCCAGGTTCCCAGTAGGGGGCACATGATAGGCAACCACACATTGATGTTTCTCCCCTTCTCTTTCTCCCTCCCTTCCCCCTCTCTAAAAACAAATAAAATGTTGAAACTGTACAGTGCAATCACCAGAAACAATTTAGAGCATTTTCATTGCCACAGAAAGAAGCCCTGGCCCCCTGTCATTCACTCTTTAACACTCTCCCTTGCCCCCAACTCCTCCCAGGCTTCTACAAACACCAGTCTACTGTCTTTCTCGATAGATCTGCCTTTTCTGGACTTTCGTATTAATGAAATCATATGTGGTTCTTTGTGATTTGGCTTTTCTCCCTTAGCGTATTTTTGGGGTTCATCTAAGGTGTGGTAGCATATATCGGTACTTCATTAATTTCATTGCCAAACAACACTCCATTTTATGGATATGTACTACATTTTGTCCATAATTGATGGGCATTTGAGTTTTCTACTTTTTGTCTATTGTGAATAGTGTTGCTATGAGGTTTCCTATGCAAGTTTCTGAGTGGGCATGTTTTCATTTATTTTTGGTGGAAGAGTGGAGTGGTTGGGTCATGTGGTAGCTCTACTGTTAACTTTTTGGGGAACAGCGAGATTGTTTTGTTCAAAAGTGAGGGCACCGGCCCTGGTTGGGTAGCTCAGTTGGTTAAAGCATGGACCTGACACACCAGGGTTGCAGGTTCAATCCCCAGTCAGGGCACATTCAAGAATCAACCAACGAATGCATACATAAGTGGGATAGTGAATCTCTGTTTTTTGCCTCTTTCTTCTTTCCTCTCTTTATCTCTCTCAAAATCAATCAGTAAAAAAAATATTTTTAAAGTGGCAGCAATTTCTTCACATCCTCCCAGTACTTGTTATTGTCTGTCAGTATTACTATGGCCGTCCTAGCAGGTGTGATGTGATACCTCAGGGGCTTCGGTTTGTGCTGTCCTGTTAGCTAGTGATGCTGACCATTCTCCCGTGTTGGCCACATGTGCATCTTCTTTGGGAAAAGGTCTATTCAGATCCTTTGCTTATTTTTTTAACTGGATCTTTTGTCTTTATTAGTGACTTATAAGAGTTTTTTATGTAGTCTAGATACCAATTTCTTACCAGATACATGATTTGCAAAAAATTTTTCCCATCCTGTGGGTTGTCTTTTCTTTATTAATAGTGCCCTTTGAAGCACAAAGATTTTAATTTTTTTAATCGAATTTATCAACTTTTTTTCAGTGTCTTGTGCAATGATGTTGTGTACTGTTTTTTAATGTTTTCCCTCTGTGCTTGTTAATATTGTACTACTCCTAAAATAACTATTGGTAATGAATAATGAAGAATGTAACTTGTCGGAATGTACAGACTACTTCTTGTTTATGCTCTTCTTTGTTCTAACTCCACGTGAGCACAGTACTGTTTGAGGTGAAGAGCTAGACCCAAATGACCTGGTTCGGAAGCTCATGCCAGCCGCCTCTGGTGAGGCACAGACCCAGAGTCCAGCAGCAGGGCCTGGCCCAGAGTAGTTAGTGCTCGACACATCTCCGGGGGCGGGGGGCGGGTGCTGAACACGGGACCTGGGAGGTGCTGGAGCAAGGACCGAGGTCCTTGAGCTCTGGGATCCGTTTGTCCTGTGAAGCCCGGGCAGCCCAGTCCTGACGTGTCTCTCCTTCCTTCCCCGTCAGAGCGGAAACGCTTGGGCATCGGCCAGTCTCAGGAGATGAACACTCTCTTTCGGTTTTGGTCCTTCTTCCTCCGAGATCACTTCAACAAAAAGATGTACGAGGAGTTCAAGCAGCTGGCTCTGGAGGATGCCAAAGAAGGCTACAGGTGAGTGGGTTGGAGGGGAGGGGCTCTAGCTGGTGCTTGCCAGGCGATTAGGGGTCCCTGATGGGTCTGCTTCCAGAACGGTAACTGGAAATGGCTTGTGTAAGTACTTTATTTAAAATGTATTGTTTTTGAGTGAGTAATATATTCACATGGTTCAAGATTCAAAGAGTTGAAAGATTACATAGTGAAAAGTCTCTTCATGCTTTTCTCCCGCCATCCAGTTCATTTCCCCAGAGTTAGCCAGTATGGTTAGAATCGTGTGGGTCCGTTCTGAACATACGTTGCCTGTGTAAGCACAGACATACACCTGTGTAGTCTCCCTACCCACCCCTTTTATTTGCACAAAAGATGGCCTCTCTTATGTATGCTTTTGCTTCTTGACTTTCTGCTTAGTGGTATATTTTAAAGGTCTTGCCAGCCCACGCTGGGGGCCCCAGGCGATGGGAGCGTCATCCCGTGCACTAAAGGTTTGCAGGTCCAACCCCGGTCAGGGCGCATGTGGGAGGCAGCTGATCGATGGGTCTAGGTTGTTGTCAATATTTGACTAATTTAAAAAACCTCTTAAAGGATTCTTCTCTTTTTTACTGAAGTAAAATTTGTTCTCTAAGCAGTTTGAAAAGAACCGAAATGCTCAGAAAGCTGCAGTCCAAAGACGACCCATATTAAAGCCCTGCCATGTTTCATGTTTTCCTAGATCGTTCTGTGAATGAGACACATTTTGTGTCTTACCATTAATAAGCATGAGCATTTCTCCACATTGTTAAAATAATTGACTTTTGGGGGCTTTTTACAGAAGTTATGTGTTTTTGCCTAAAAACTTAGAAAATGTAAATAAGATCACTTAAAAAGTACCAACTCCCCAAGATAACCAGTGTTAATATATTTAAATGTATGCCCTTCTAGATTTTGTGTGCATACACAGATGTAAGATTTACCCATTTATAAAAATGGGTTAATTCCACACATGATGCTCTGGAACATGTTTTTTCCACTTGATAATATCTCAAAGCATTTGTCAGTATCATCAGTGAATATTTACATTGTCATTTTTAATGGCTTATCATTCCATTGAACAGATTTACCGTGTTTTGCTTCACCACTTATCTATTCTTAGACATTTAGATTTTCTGTAATAATTCTTCTATGAACAGTTTTGGTGCATCTGTAAAATCTAAATCTGCATTTTTGGCCATTCCCCTGTGGTGTTCCTGGAAGTGACATTTCTGAGTCATCGACATGAACAGACCTACTAACTGGCGCAGTCAGATGGCTTTCCAGAGAGCTTATCCCAGGGACTGGCAAGCTTTTTCTGTAGAGGGACAGATGACGAATATTTTCTGCTTTGTGATTGCAGCTGCAACTACTCAGTTCTGCTCTTGTAGCAGAGAGCAGCCAATGACAGTTCACAAGTGAACTGGAGCACAAAGGTGGTGTGGTCGGGGGCTGCTGTTCACCTGGCCAGAGTTTGCCGGCCCCTGGTGGGCTGTACACGTTAATGTTGGAGCCGCCCAGGCTAGCAGTAAATGTTAGCTTTCCTACAGAATTTGCTGTTTCCTCGATAACCCACTGCCATCAGACTCTTGTGGTTCATCTGTGAGTTCATTCCCCTGGTTTAAGGTGAAGAAACTGAGTCCTTGTCTCACTGCCTTGTGTTCTGCAGATATGGTTTGGAGTGCCTTTTTAGATACTACAGTTATGGCCTAGAAAAGAAGTTCCGGCTGGACATATTCAAGGATTTTCAGGAGGAAACGGTGAAGGACTATGAAGCCGGTGAGAGCCCCGGCCATCTAGCCTTGTCCCCCTCCCTCCCCAGCTTGACCTGGCTCTGCCTGGTCACGTCGCACCTCGCTCCCTTGGTCTCAGCTTCTCCTCCCCAGCCCAGCTCTCCCTACTTCTCTTTCCTCTTCCTCTACAGGGCAACTCTATGGGCTGGAGAAATTCTGGGCCTTCTTGAAATATTCCAAAGCCAAAAATTTGGACATCGACCCCAAACTTCAAGAATACCTCGGCAAATTCCGACGTCTTGAAGACTTCCGAGTGGATGTAAGTAAAAGTCTCTTTCTCACCCTGGTTGTCCTGGAAAGAAAACTGGACCCAAGATCAGGAAACCTGGGCTCTGGCCCCAGCTGCACCACTGGCCCAGGGACAGCGCCCGTCCCAATTTGGGCCTCATCTCTGCCTCTGTAAAGCAGAGCGTGGGAAGTGGGCAGTGAAGGCTAACTGGAGGGGTTATGTGTTGCTCCTGCCTTGCCTGCCCACAGTAGAAATGGCTAAACTGTCACGATGCTCTTTCCCTTTTATCTCACACCCTGCCTTGCTGCTGTGCCCTAGTTGGTCTGGGTGGGTAGCCAAGGTGAAATGTTTTTTTATCTTACTGGAAGAGGCCAGTTCTAACCCCAGGAGTTTATACGTTACGTTGTTTTTTCTCCACCTCCACCCTGCTCTGCTGTCTTTTTGGAGTAGTAACTCAATGGTGACATCCAGTGGTGGGTCGGGGTCATTGCTATTGGGTTTTTCAAGGCGAAGGGTGGTTGGAGTAATTGGAATGTCTCTCTGTGTGCAGTCTTCAGGGACTCCAGTGATGAGTGAAAGACTCTTCTTCCTTCAAACAGTGTACAATGTATGGTGGCAAGGGATATGCCACTATTCCCTTGAAACCTTTTAGAAAAAAGGCAAATAAAAGTAAACAGTAATAGTAGTTTATATTGTATTTTAAAAGTTGCTATTGATTGTTTACTATGTGCTAGACATTTTGCATTGTCCTCCTTTAACCTTTATAAAGAGGTGAAGTAGGAAGGTTTCATGGTGTCATCCCCTGACCAGCGGATAAACAAGCCCACGGCCACCCAGTGAGATAATGGCCGCACTGCCTAGGGCTCCCAGAATAAAGATGAGTAGGTTTTTGTCCTTCCTTCAGCACTCTCCCCTGAGGGCTGGAGGCGGGGGGACACGTGCCGAGAACCCTTGGAATAGGAAGGACCAATTAGGGCGGGACAGAGTGGGCTCAGCTTTGGCGCCCAGAAAGGGAGGGAGATCTCTTCAAAGTTACAAGACCTTCAGCAGTGGTGCAGCCCAACTGGATCAGTCGTGGTCTCACTTCTAGATCAGTGTCCTTTTTAGGCCCTTGAGGGGACGAGGCAGTCCCCGGAGCCTTTGGGCCTTGTGAGCTGAGCTGTCTCGGCCTGTTTCATGCCACATTCCTCATGTTACCCCAGAGCAGTGATCTCTTCCCCTAACGGGAACAGGAACTCCTGTGGATAAAAGCCCGGGCTTCAGCAGTCCGTGGGCCCAGCCCACGTTTTGTCTTCACCAGTTACCAGCCATGGGGACCCAGGCAGATTGCTTTTCTGTGCTTCGGTTTCCTCATCTGCAGGATGGATGCGTGGGTCTGCATCCAAGGGTGGTGCGGACCCCATGAGCAAGTGCATAAAGTAGCAAAGTGCAAGGTCCTGGCGTGGGGACGTGCTCAGTGCAACTCGTAATTTGTTCTTAGGGTTAAGCCTACTCATTATCTACATCACATTTTCAGGTGGGAAATAGGAGTTTCCTCAGACAGCGCTGCCAAGGCAGGGAGGACAGGCACGGGTGGTGCCCCCTAATCACCTGTCATTCCCTTCTCTATCACAGCCCCCCATGGGTGAAGAGGGCAGCCACAAGCGACACCCAGTGGCAGCAGGAGGTGGCGGCGGTGAGGGCAGGAAGCGGTGCCCCTCCCAGTCTTCCAGCAGGCCCGCCACCGTGGTCAGCCAACCCCCCACACCACCCACCGGCCAGCCCATCCGGGAAGATGCCAAATGGACAAGCCAGCACTCAGACGCACAGACTTTGGGAAAGTGAAAGAACCTGTCGCCCTGGGGGGTTTTGTGGGGGGGGGGGGATGGGCAAGACTCCGTGGGGGTGCCCAGTCCCAGGAGAGGGGACAGAGAAGGAGCAGGCCTGGATTCACTGGGATGGGCCTTCGTGCTGAGTAGCAGTGTGCACACCATTTGGGCTGTCAGAGGTACCCCTGGGCAGGAGCCTCCACACGTCCCTTCCCCCTCCTCTCTTCATGCCTCTTCGTCACAGCCTAGCTTCTAAGGGGGGAGGGACGGGGGGAGATTTTATATATATATATACATATATATATACATATATATATCAAGTTTTAAATTATTGATAGTTCATTTGGATTACCAAAATCACTCTAGCCCTGCCCACGGCGGATAGGCCGCAACCCTGGTCCCTGCCCCACGGCCTCCTGCTCCCTCTCAAGCCAACTATGCAGCCCACACGAAGGCCCGTGGGCACCATCGCCCGGCACTGTCCCATGGGAGGCTCTGGCAGTGCCCCTGGGCCCCACGGGCACTGGCCCCCTTGTCATCGGGGCTTTCCATCGCCGTGTCCTCTGCCCGCCGTCCCCACCATGCCCTTCTGCCGTTTTCCGGGAGAAGGAAACCAAAGGATCTGAACGTGGAGGAGGGGGGGTTCCGCCTCCCCGCACTCCTCTCTCCCCGTGCCCCATACTCCCCAGCCCAGAGAGACGCTGCTCATACCAGAAAAGACTATTGAAAGATGATTTATTTTATTTTTCTCTGACCTTTCCATCCTTGGGGAAGAAGGAAAAAAAAAAAGGACAAAACTGACCTTAAAAGACCAAAAAAAAAAAAAAATCAGAAAACCCCCACCTAATCCACAGAAAGTGATGTTTATTTCCTACCCATGGAATTCTTTTTGTTTTATTTTGTTTTGTTCTTGGAAATAATATTTCTTTTAAAAGTTGCCTTATTGTGGAGCGGGAATCTGAAATACCCAAATGCCTATTTTCCTCAGTGGAGTCGACTCAAGCTCCCACCTTCTCTGGATGTGCCTGGGCTGGATTGGCTAGGGTCTTTCTCTGGACTGATTTGCATGTACAGCGCCTCCAGCCTCGGGGGCCAGAGAGTTGGGGATGGCTCGGGTGAGAGCCGCACCCCACGCATCCCTGCTGTTGCATCGTTTGAAGCTGACATCCTGTGTCTACACTGCTGCCACTGTCGTGTCCTCACTCCGCTTGCTGTTGCCTCACGCCGGGCCCTGCCCTGCTGTGACACTCGTCATCCTACCCCATGGCCAAGTTTGCTTCAGACTGTTAGAGAAGAGCGTTGGCCTGGAGCTGGGACAGGCCTGTCCTCAACTTGACCGTCCCCCCATCTCGGGGAGAGATGAACACCTGGCAGGCTGGGGCTTGGAAGTGTTGTTCTGTGTTGCCTGGAAAGATCTTGGAGACCTCAAGGAGGCTTTGTCTCATAAAAGGTGGAGGAAAATGCCACTCTCCTGTGGGTCTGGTGTGGTCTCCCCATCTTGCATCCCTTCTGCGAGCCATCTCTGCCCGCCCTCCGCTTGGTCCTGCCTGGCAGTGAGGACTGAGGAGGTGAGGAGGAGCTGGGGGCCGGGGAGAACCCTGCCAGTTGGAGAAGCCCCGCGGCAGGAAGGTATATGTGGACATAGAGTATACCTGACTTCTCCGGCCCCGGATTGGGCTGCGAACGACAGTGGGACGGTTGGAGTCTGCCGGCATTCGGAGCTGGGGGGAGTGACGAAGGACCGGCCCGCACAGGCTGGGCTGTGTGTTAGGTGCGTGCGTGATGACACGTTCACCTCCAGCGGGGACCAGGCAGCACGGAGAAGTCCCTGGTAGTGTTGCTCAGTCGGTGACTCTTCCTTCGCCCTCTGTTTCGATTGCTCCCTCTGCTGGGCCCAAAGGCTGGGAGTAGGAGACAGTACCCCAGACTGGCAAGGGCTTGCCTTTGTCTTGGGCACCTCATTGCTTTTGGCCTGCCCCCTTCCCACCTCTGCCCGCCCAGTGGTTAGTGTGTTGGGAAGCCCATCTCAGTTCTTGAGGGACAGTTCTCTCAAAAGCCAAGGACAAGTGTCTGGTCTCCGCCGTGACTGTGGGATCTGAGGCCTTGCCCTGCCCGGTCTGGTGCCGGCCCCACGTTGTACCAGACACTGGACTCCCACACCCCCGCCGCCTCCTGCTTCATTCCCCTCTCCTTCAGGGCGCGCAGCCCTGTACTGTATCCAGCACCACAGAAACCTCAGTGTTTGTCCTCTGCTGGGTGTGGGGGCATGCAGAAGCCTTGGGAGTGGGGAGAGGTGGTTCGATGTAGAGTTGATTCCCAGGCCAGGGCGCTGCCATCTTCTCCCTGACCCTCCCCAGAAAGAGAAAAGGCCCTTTTGAGGTGAGGAGGTGAGGACTTCATCTCAACACAGGCTGAGGATGGGGAGAAAGGAGACCTTTTTTTTTTCTTTTTTTTTGGTAACATGTTAGGAGTTGATGTTGCAAAGAGTAGTTTACATCTTCACTTTCTGAAGACACTTGAATTTAGGACCGATGTATCTGTGACAAGCATGCAGGAGTGGCAGGGGCCATTGGGGCTTGCCACTTCACACCCACCATCCTCTCCCGGGGATCCAAGATCTGAGACACAAAGCAACAGCTCGCCCAAACCCTCTTCATCCTGTTCCCTCCCAGGGCCAGGCCATGCCAGCACAGCTTCGGGCATCCAGCACCAGAAAGCCTGTGTGTGGCGGCCCTGAGAAGGGACAGGTCTCTGTCATCCTCTCCTGCACCTGGGAGCCTCCGTGCTGCCAGTAGAGAGGCGCCACTGGGTCTGCCCCAGCCTGGACCCCTGGGGCTCAGACCGAGTTGCTGAGCCCCCACGTCAAAGTTGTTAATGTTCTGTTTCGTTCATTTGTAGCTCTTTTCCCCCCACCTTTCCTGGTGATTGATTTTAGAAAAAGTAAGCTCCTGAGAAGGTCCTCAAAGTGGGGAGGAGGGGCAAGAAAGAAGGCTTATCTGAGTAGGGTTGGGGTGGGGTTTTTTGCCAAAAGCCTGGGTAGAGCGGTCTGGATCATCGGGCGCCCTCCTGAGTGGGATCCCCAACTGTCTCCTGTGCGGTGGGCCCCTGGATCTGCCCGGACCTCGCCCTCTCCTTCAGCCGTGTTGGTGGCAGAGAAGATTGGAACTCAACGGCCCATTCTCACTGGAGAGGAAAACTTGTCATCTGGCTTTGCGGAGAAGGTTCCACCTTACGCTCATAGTACGTTATCTCTACCATGTGCTTGGATGTCACACTTAAAAGGACAAAAAAAAAATGTAAAATACTTGAATGAGCTTGTATTATAACATTAATATTATTGAGAGTATCTGCGTTCCAGGCTGAAGTGATTCATTCATTATTCTAGTCTGCTTTAGTCCTTTGTAATTTGTGGTAATTATGCTTTTCTTTTTAATACAAAAAAATGTATAAAAATAAAAACTTGAAAAGGCACAATACTGGCTGGTTTCCTATCTGGGGTGCGGCTGTGGGGTGTGGGAAGAATCCTGGCCCGCATGTGAGCGCTTTACAGACCTGTGCCCAAGGCAGGGCCCCTTGGCCTCTCAGGCTGCCAGTGCATTCCAATGGATTCCTCGGTGGTCGTGAGCGCGCTGCCAGCCTTGAACTCGTGTTCACCTTGTGTCTTACGGAAGAAGTGGGAGCTACAGCCAAAGCCACAGAAAGAGACACCAGTCTGCCAGCTCAGACTCCAGGGTTTCCTGCGCTGGCATCGTGGGAAGAGGCCGCCAGGAAGATGGAGGCCACTTCAGTTTCTCACAGGAGGGCGGGCACAGCCCCTCACTGAACAGACTCCGCTGCTGGGGTGTCAAGTTCAACACGGGCCATGGGGGATCTGGGTCAGCCACGGAGCCCTGAGGATGGATGCTGGGGTGGGGGACACCATCTCGTGCCCCCACGGTGGCTGGTCTCTGGGCTGTTGGTTTTTCCCCAACCTGTGAGGTCAGGCGCTGGCAGTAGTAACGTTGTGAGTGCCAGTCTGGCCTAGATGTGTAATTACAAAACTAAAAGTGAGGTGTGGCCACATTGACTCACTCATCGGACAACTTTGTTTTCCATGCTTGGCACTGGTGCATCCCATCAGAAATGGTTCTGCCTAGAATGCCACCCTCTGTCAGGTGGGCAGGCACTTGAATGCCTTCCGTGGCCTCCACAACCTGGTGGGAACCCTGTGAGAGGCCACTGATCGCCCTGGTCTCGCCTGCACCGCTGGAGCTCCCAGAAGCCACAGGACTGTGAGTGTTGGAGAGAAAAAAGTGAACTAGCTGATGGAGTTAAAGGAAACCAGTTTATTTTCCATGCTTCCTCCTCTCACGTCCATTCTGCTGGAGGCAGAAGAGGGTAGGGCCCGGCCCCTCTGACGGGGCCCAGCCACCTGCCTGCCCCAGGGGGTGAGCGGACAGCCTCTTGTGCCCCTAGGCACCCTGCTGTACCTTCAAACTCTCAAGACCTTGAAGAGGGAAAGGTGTTCCATTCTTCTTTCTCCACGTTCCTCATTTCCTGCCCTTGTTAAGTATACTGAAGGTGGGCTAAGTGTAGGGAAAGGTTGTGGGTGTAGGCCAGCGGCCGTGGTAACGTAGAGCATCCATGCACTAGAGTTGTACTTCAAGCTAAGGGTATATACAGGTTGTCCTAGGGAGGGGCCGGGTGCACCAGTGCCGGGGGCGGGGGGGGGGGCGGGGGGCTGGGCAAGGCCTGGGAGGACTGCCTGGTAAACACCCAGTTGGCCTACTGGGCAGGTTCTCTGGGGTCCTAGGACTGATGGGTCCTTTTTGATGGTTCTGCCTGGAGACTCGGCCATATCAGGTGTGAAGTATTGCACAGAGCTACAGGGAGTGGTGACCTGGGTGTTCTAGAACCGCAAGTTCAGGAATGGACCCAAGTATGTATAAGAATTTAGTGCCTGACATATGGTGGCCTTTGGAGTGGTCTTCGGTGGTTCCTGGGAGCCACAGGGTCCCCAGCAGTGTCAGTGGCTGCTGAGGAAAAGTAAGTGAGGGGACTGCACCTGTGGTTTTTAGATAAGGTTCCTGGTACAATTTCGTTTGAAAAGTCACCCTTGCTAAAATCCTGAGTAAGTGGTGTGAAACTACAGGAACAGATGAGGATTTTGCCCTTTGTTCAGCCGTGTTTTTCTTGCCTTCTCATTGGAGGAAGAGGGTTCTAGCCTCAGGTCCTCCTTCTGAGACTCATTAGGGGCCTCAGTCAGGTGACCCCAAAGGTCAGCAACTGGGACCTTCCCTTCCATAGGTTTAAGGGCCCCCAGCTTAGCAGGTGTCCCGGGCTTGCCTCTGGTTCCCGGGGATGGCTGAAGGTATTGGCGTTCGGGCTGCGCCTCTCTGAGGTCTGCATTGCATCCAGGGAGGAGCGTCCACAATTGGTATTTTCCTTTCCCGAGATGGATGATTTTTGTTGGCCGTGGGTCCAAGATAACATGGGAGCATTGTCACTGACTCAGTGTGTGTGTGATGGGGGATGGGGTCTTGACCGCTGTGACTGCAGCCTGGGTGTTGGGGCCCCGGCCCGAGTTGGGTGTGAGAGAAGTTTTGGGGACAGGAAAGGGGTAAAGCGCTGTGTCCTGGTCCCCCCACACCCTGGCAGCAGAAGGGGCTCTCCCGAGCCATGTTGCCTGCATTGTGGCTGCTACATTTGTCGTTCTCTCCATCTTGCCTACACAAGGAGGGGTCCCTCTTAAGTGAACTTCGGGCCCCTTGAGGTATAACCAGGGCAGTTGGGAGAGCCTTTGCCTACATGTCCTGGAAACCGCCCCTCCCCCTGTCCTCGTGGTGCTGTCCTTAAAGAGTGTGTGGCTGAAGGAGGAAGTCCCTAGGTGTGATCTGGAGGCCTCAGGCCACCTTAGTAGTCTGCAGAGGGGACGGCCAGCATGGCCCCCGGGCCCTCTCACTCCATCTTCGGCGAGTCGGGGATGCTCTCAGAGAGCGGGGTGAGGCCTAGCAGGAGGGTGTGCCTCTCGTAGGCTTTGGTCTGCTTAAACAGGGTGTCCGTCCCATGGAGGTGGTCCAGCACGCCCAGCACCCCGTAGCACTGGTTGAACCTGGGGGAGAGAAGAGGGTGCTGGAGGCCCAGGTGCTAATCTCCACAATTCATTCGCGCCAGCCTCTCGCACATGTCTAAGCTCTCCTACTCCCCACCTTGCTGACCACCTGCATCAGAATAGCCCAGGGAGATGCTGCGCACACTCCCAGGGCACCTCCAGACTGAAAATCTGCCGTCTCCTTCTGGAAAGCTCTCTGACTGCAATGCACACAAGTCGGAGCCTCTGTCGGTTTGTTCCGATAGGCTCGGGGACCACTTGAATCAGAATCCCCTGGAACACCTATTAAAATGCAGGTTTCTGGGCTCTGCTCCTCCTTCCCTGGCCCCCAGATGCTTGGATTTAGCATGTGTAGAGTGAATCCCAGGACCCAGTGTTTGCGAAGCACATCTCAGGTGCTTCTGGTGCGGGAGGTTCACAGGCTCACTTAAGAGAGCCTGGAGGCTCTCAGTGCGCAAGTCCCTTTGAACTGCACACAGGATTTTTTTTTTTTTTAATCCTCACCTAAGGACATTTTTTCATTGCTTTGAGAAAGAGAGGAAGGGTGGGGAGAGAGAGAGAAGGCATCAGTGTGAAAGGGAAACATCTATCGTTTGTATGTGCCCTGACTGGGGATTGAACCCACAGCCTGGGTGTGTGCCTGACCAGGAATCAAACCTGCAAACTTTTGGTCGGAGGGACAATGCTCCAGCCAAGCAAGCCACACTGGCCAGGGTGGATTTTTATGTATGTGTACATTTTTCTGACAATACCCATAGCTTATATTGGATACTCAGAGGATCCAGGACCTAATAAAGGATAAAAACCCAGCTGCAGGAAGATCCAGTGTCAAAGAAGGAAAACAGCAAGGTGTCCTGGGGTCCAGCATGGCCATTGCTTTCCCCACCTCCAGACCTCTCCCTGCGCTAGCACCCACACTGAAACCGAGATAACAGCGTCTGCTAACGGAAGCTCCCGGAGTAAGGTGGAGGTTACTGCCCAGGGCCCACAGTGGAAAGGGGGGCCTTACTTGAGATGGTGATAGTCATGGAATTCCGGCGAAGGCAGGAAGGGCAGGTGGTAGCCACAGTGGGAGATGGTGGTGATGACGAGGGCCAGGGAAGACCACACGACGATGGAGGACAAGTGGGAACCCATCACTAGGGGGCCCACCACTGCCGGCAGCATGTTTGAGACCTGAAAGAGGGGGCTGTTGGAAGGCGTGCTCCAGGGAGGGCGAGGGGACCCAGCGGTGGGCCCCCTCTTCCCAGGGGTGGTACCAGGAAGACTTCCTTGAATCAGGTGTGATGAAGCCGAAAGAGTTTCAGGGCCGGGATTTGCTGGAATCGTTCACCTCTGTAACTTGGGACAAGTTATTAATGGTTTGCGCCTCAGCTTCCTCATCTGCAAAGTGAGGATTAAAATCGTTCTCGGGAAGATTAAATGAGATAGCGTGTTGGGTATCCAGCACGGCCCGGCCTATGCCCAGTCAGCAGTAGCGATAGCCCTTCGGTGGGGAGAAGGCAGGCTGGTTCTCTGCAGACCTCCGGGAGGGGGCGGGGCCTCTGCCCTCGGCCTCCAGGGAGGGCGGGGCTCTACTCACCACGTGCTCGATGGGGTGGGCGTAGAGGGAGATGACGCCTATGGGAGCTGTCCACTCGTGGTGTTTCTTATGGATTTTCTTGTACAGTTTTGGGTGGTGAAGGAGCCTGGAAAACGGTCAATAGTTAACAATCTGCCAGTCTCCCGCCCTCCACCCCCCAGAGCAGGAGAGACCAAAGGTAGGAATCGGGGTTACATTTACAGAGCAAGGCCGAAAACGCAGCCCTGCGTTTGAGTTCTGCCCTGCCTCTTCTGCATCATTTGGGGGCGGGCTACTTTGCCTCTCTCCACCTCAGGTGTATTAGCTGTAAAATGGGGATGAAGCCCAGAAAGGCTTCTCTTGGGAAATGAACGGGAAAAGCCCTGCTACCCACGCGTATGGAGAGGGCTCGCTCTTTTCTGGACGTTTTCCCGGTCGCCTCAAGCTGTCAGGTGTGGAACAGTCGTCTCCCTGTTAGCTACGTCGGAGGCTTTCGAGGCCAGGTGTGCTGGCCTGCGATTCTGAGGCCTCAGGCTCCTCACGAGGGGGAGGAGAGTGTGGGTCCAGCTGCGCTCGGGCGGGGCCCGCTCACCGGTGTGAGTAGTAGAACATGACCTCCTCGATCAGCGTGAACACTGCCAGCTCCAGGAGGAACCAGTGGAAGGTGGGCAGCTCTCGGCGGCAAGGGTCTCTCCGCAACTTGCAGATGGGGTAGAAGAGGACCATGATGGGGAAAGAGATCAGGACCTGGTTGGCCAGAACTGTGCGGATAGCCTGGCGGAGTTTCACAGGGTCCACCTGCCCGAGGGAAGGGAGGAAGGAGATGCACGAGGGCATGAGAAGGAGGTCTTTTCCGGAAACTGGTCTCCACTGTGACCTGCTCACAGGAAGCCCTCATTCGGAGTGGGTGGTAGGAGGAATGTCTGCCAGCAGCCCCTGCCTGCTGCCAGTCCTGGGGTGGAGCCATCTGCTAACGGCCCTGCCTTGGGAAACTCCGCTCTGGGCAGCCTCAGTCTCTGCCCCAGCCCGCAGTCTCCTTCCTGCTTCTGCAACTACCACTATCCTCCCCATTTCTCTGGCCAAGCCCTTGGGGGCCTCCAGGGTACTTGGAGAAGACTATCAACTCTCAGCTTGATATCCTTATTCAGACTTTTAACCCTTCCTCACCTGGAGAACCTTGACCGTAATCAGATGCAGAGATGAAGGTCATCTGCCTCCTGATGGGGCCTAGCCTCACTGGATGGGGCCTGGAGCACAGCAGCAAGTGAGCCAGGTAGCTGCCCGTCTGGCCTCCCAAATTCCCGTGACCTGGTTTTCCTGGTTTTGACCGTGTGGCTGTCAAATGGGGACCTGCCTGAGCTTTCTCTCTAGGGTCACTGTGGAGAGCTGGCCCCAAATGCCCACAGTACAGCTAGCATTTCCCTGAGAATCAGTAATCCCTTGACCACTCCCTTCAGCAGAGCACCAGGGGGCCCGGGAACAGCCCCATAATCACTGGTGACTTCCTGGTCAGGAGGGGTTTCTCCCCGAGGTGAGCCTGGGTTCAAGGTGGTCCTCAGGCCTGAAGCTTTCTTCCTCTTTCTCCAACTCGGGTTTATTTTAGGAGATGCAGGCTGAAGGATTTAGGGTGAAATGTTATGATGTCTGGGACTTCCAAATGCTTGAGCAAAAAATGACAGAGGCATAGATGTTTATATTTTTATATATTGATAATGTAAAATGTTTGAAGTGGGTGGATCTAGGTGCTGTGTAAAAGTGATTACCATACTACTTTTTCAACTTCTGTGTGTGTGTGTTTCCAGGTGTTCAGAATTACAAACTGGTGGGGAAGAAAGGGTGGACAGAGGATGGAAAACTGTAGACAAAGAGCTTTGCTGCGAAGAGGAGCAAAAATAGGAGTGGTATCGAGCGTGGGAGATGAAGTCGAGGGTGTTTGTGTGGTTGTCACATGTTTTCACAATCCAGAGAGGAATGATGTAGGAGAGGAAGGAAAAAGGGATACATTGAAAGAGAAGCGAGAATGGCCGGAACAATTTCCTGGCGGAACCGAGAGGTGCAGGGCTGTGGCGTGCAGCGCGCGGAGGGACGGCTGCAGTTGGAACAAGGAGAGCTCGCCTGCTGTATCAGGTGGGAAGGCAGAGCATGCGGTGGGCGTCTGGAAACGCTCCCCTGCTTGCTCCGCTTTACTTAGGGAAGAGGAAGCAAGGCCACCCTGCTCCAGGAGGTTGGGGGAGGCAGTGTGGGAGATGTGAGGAAAGAGGAGAGGTGGGAACTAGCTATCCAGGAGAGTTAACAGACCAGGGACGGATCTTACGAATGCCTGCAGCATTCAGATCCCATGTGAGGATCTGTTTCCAGTGTCTTAGGGAAGGGATCAGGCCCTTCTGGAATCGGCCGGAAGCTAAATGGCCTCCAGGGCTTCCTTCTTAGTTGTGTCTACCTGGCAATGCACACAGGGTAGGAACACTGGACCTGGAGTCAGGTGAGACGATCCCCGGCTCTCTTTCCTGGTGACAGTCTGACTTTGAGCTAGTCACTGGTCCTTTCTGAACTTCGGCCTCTGCAAAGTGTGACACCTTCCCTGTGTGGCTCTGCAATCACTGTAGGCTGGGAAAGTGTCGCTGTGTTGGGTGATATTCTTGAGAGCTGAGGTGGCCTCATGGCTAACAGCATGAGCCTTGGCGTCTGAAAGGTTGCGTGTGAATCGTGGTTCTGCCCGTGTTGGATCTGAAAGCCTCCGTTTTCTCGTCTGAACCATGAAGGTTGTTGTTATGGTGCTTGCCTGGAAGATGTGAGCATCTAGTCAACAGTGCCTGGTAAGGAGACCCCCATGGTCTGACAGGTGAAGGGCTCTCAGTGGCCAAGCATTGGCTTGGGCACTTAGGTTCCTGTCTATGCTGCCAAGCTGGACCTGGAGGAAGCCCCCTGGCTGGCAGGCAGCTCTTGTCCTAGGTGAGGAGGACAGTGAGCCAGGCCAACAGCTCTGGTTCAAGAAGGGGCTTTCTGAAAGCCTGGCTCAAGGACACTCCTTCCCACCCATTCCGCTTTCTGGAGTGCTGGGCGGGGGGAGAGCACCCTGCAAGCTGAGGTGATCCACCTGGCACCTGGGCAGATCATTAAGAGATGATCATCTCCTCTGGGAAAGAAGCCAGGGTGTGATTTGGGTGGAGCTGGGCAAAGAACCTGGGTTGAAGAGTCAGCTGCTTCCTTGCTGAGTAAGAAAAGGCTCCTGGGCCCTGGTTGGTGTGGCTCGGTGGATTGAGGGCCAGACTGCGAACCAGAGGGTCGCCAATTCGATTCCCAGTCAGGGCACATGCCTGGATTGTGGGCCAGGTCCCCAGTAGGGGGTGCAGGAGAGGCAACCACACATTGATGTTTCTCCCCCTCTCTTTCTCCCTCCCTTCTCCTCTCTCTAAAATAAATACAGTCTTTAAAAAGGAGAGAAGAAAAGGCTCCTGGCTGTTGCCAGAGCACTGAGCAGCTATCTTGTGGGTGCTGTGTGAGTAGATGTGTGTGCTGGCCTTCTCTCCCTGTCTGGGCCAGTTCCTTGTAAAAAGGGGCTGGGCCTTGTTTATCCTGGGTAAAATAAACACTGCTGGTTGAACTGAATAATTGGGAAGGAGGACCTGCTTGAAAAACAACCACTACCTACACATTCAGAATCCACATTTCCCAATCTATGGTGACAGGGTCGGCCACTCGTGAGGGCTGTTCTTCGTGGTTTCACCACCCCGCCCACCACGGCTTTCCCTGCTCCTGTGGCTGAGGGCCTAGCTGCCTGCAGGGACAGCGTGGGGCGGGCCTTCAGACGACCAGAACAGCAGTCTCAATGGCTGGCTCTGAGATTTGGGCCAAACTATCTCCTCTCTCTGACCTTCTACCTTGGGGGAGCCTTGTACACCCTAACTTGGCTCGCCCTGGCCATAGCCAGCGGTGAGAATTTTTGAGAGTGTGGCTTCAGTGCCTGCTTTCTGGGCCCTGGCCAGGAGGAGCTGCAGCAGCTCTTACCGGCTCGTTCTTGCCAGCCTGAATCCGGTAGCGTGAGATGAAGTTGGGTTTCCCAGTTGTGTCGACCACCAGCAGAAGCCCATTGAGGCCCCAGAAGAATATAAGGGGCACGTGGGTGATACCTAGGGTTGGGGAGCAGAGGGGATGGTCAGGTGACTTCAGGTGCTCACCACACAGGTGTTAACCAACCTCATGCTTGACAGTGACCTGGGCAACATTGTAGACAGTCCCTGGCCACAGAAGTCTCAGTGCTTGAGGCCAGGGGACCTACCTGTGGTCTGGAGTGACACACTAGCTTAGGGAAACTTGAACAGGTCATTACTTAAGGAGTATCTTTACTTATTTTCTTAGTCATAATACAGGAACAACAACCTAGGTGGTTAAAGACAAAAAAAAAAGTAGATGCTCTAAACTATAAATCAATGTAGGTTGGCATTTGGGAGTCTGTGCCCCTCGAACCCTTTGAATTTCCAAGGAAAGGAGAAGCAAAGGAAGCACAGTATGGTTCAGAATGAGCAGAGGACTAGGAGTCCACCAGGGGCCTAATCCCTGTTACCCTGCTAACTGAGCAGTGCGACCTCGGGCATCCGGATGTCCCACGGACTTCTGGGTCAGACAGCCTCCTGGACAGCCGTGGTCCAGACTAGTGTGTTCACGGCTGTGAGCAGTCTGCGGCACAGACGCCTGCTTGCCCTTGCTAGACTCAGCCTTTCCCAGGCTCAACCCTAGAACTTGGTTTTCTCAGAACTCATGAGAACAGGATGGCCACATCTCCCAGTTCGCCCAGGACAGTTTTGAATGACCTCTGTCCCTCCAGCATAATTAATAACACATCACTTACTATGATCACAGAACATTTGAACAGCCTAAATGTCCACTAGTAGGAAAAAGACTACATTGGAATGGAACGGGCAGCTTGAAATGTTAAGTAAATTTATATCAATTGACATAGAAAGATGTCTACAATCTAGCTAATGAAAAAAAAAAAAGCTTTAAAAAATGTGGTGTCTTGCCCTGACTGCTGTGGCTCTGTTGGTGGGCATCTTCCCACAAAACACAAGTTCGCCGGTTCAATTCCTGGTCAGGGCACGTGCCTGGGTTGCGGTTTCAGTCCCTGGTTGGGGTGCATATGATTGATATTCCTCACGTGGATGTTTCTCTCCCTCTCTGCCTCCCTCCCCTCCCCCACCTCTGAAAATAAATAAAATCTTAAAAAAATAAAAATGAAAAAGGTGATGTTGTAAATTCAACCATGTATTGAATATATAAGACATTAATAATATATTTAAGAGTGGTTACTTCTTGGATATGGGAGAATGGGTGACTTTTTACCTTCTTTATGGTTATATGATTTGTCTGATTTTTATTTTAACAATGAGCATCTATTTACAGACTTTTTTATAAGGGTGGCTGCCTACTTGGAAATCTAAGGGCTCCTTGAGGAATACAGACTGAAAACCACAAGTGATAACCTTGAACTTTCTTTTAACTCTAACATTTCCCATTGCACATATTTTTTGTCTGATATTTGCTTATTGCCGAGGTAATAAGGAGTATTCTCATCACTGTAACAGAAACACGTAAAATGCTTTCCCACATTTTCCCCTTATACATTTGCAATCTGCACTGTTCTTTTCGATGACTGCAGAAGATTCCTTTGAACCAGTCCTACTTAGTGTTCAGCCCATTTTCAGATTGTCCTTCCGGCTGAAAACAGGGGACGTTCTATTTATACTTTTGTTTTGTGACAACTGACCCTTTTTTAAAATCCCCCCTTCTAGACCATGATGTAGTTTTTTTGTGGGGTAGACAAACATTTTATCTTAAACACCCCTATACCTTCCATACAAACTCAGCACGGAGCAGCAACACTAATAACTATTGTTTGAGTGAATGAGGACACTCACTCGTGTAGATTAGGTGGTTATAAATAGCTGCAGTGGCTTTTCCACTACATTTCCTCAGGCTAGTTTCGAGCCATTCACACTGTCAGTCAATATTTGAGTGGCCACTTGCTGTCCAGCCTCCTAGAGCTACATGGCGCCAAGGACACAGCCTCGCGTGCCGTGGAGCTTGCTGTCTGCACTTGTGGGCCCCACACCCGAAAGCCGGCTCGTTGCTCTAAACATGCCTTCGTGTTCACACAAACTATTTCTTTTTTCATTTTTCTATTTTTTAGGGAAGGGAGGTCTCCATTTCTCCACTTCTTCTGTTTGATATCCTTAGACATCCATTCCAGGTTACCCACAAGCTTAGACTCTCGGGGCTTACCACCACCCTCAACTTGAAGTCCTTATTCCTCGTAAGAGTGTGCTCATGAGTCCCAAAGCAGAGCACAAAACAACAGAACAGGAAGGAAACTATAGTCAGGTGCTCCACCCCCAGGGCTGGGGGTCGAGGAGGCTCACTTAGCATGTAGAGGATCCACTCCTTCCCTTCAAATGCGAACAGCAGCCTCTCCCACTGAGCTTGCCAGAAGTGGCCAGAAGCACCCCAAAATCTCTGAAGATGCCTTAGAAGAAAAAACAGCACTCAGGTTTCTGGGTGAAAACAGGTGGGTGCTCTGACCCTAGACCACCACCCTACTGCCCTCAGGTCCTGAATTAAAGCTGACCCCACAGACTCACCATGTGACTGAGTTCCAGAAGGCCACAAGCAGGAGAAGGCCGGAGCCCAGGATGAAAGCTGTCCTCCGCATGGAGCCCCAGATGTGTCCCTCCTGGGAGGACAGGGAAAGATCAGGTCCCAGCGAGCCTGTCGTCCCACACAGTGCACTCTCTGCGGAGGCTGACAGGAGTGGTGTGCAATCGGGGTTCAACGGCACCAGCACTGAACATCTGCCGACCTTTCCCCAGCTCCTGCAGGCAGCTTATCAAGAACTCTGTGGCTGTTTACAGGTGTGTTTATGATGTCAGAGCTCGAGCTTGGCCAAGGGAACAGACCAGCCCGGCTGCGGAGAGACTATCTGGCGATTCTGTCCCCTAGAGAAGGCCGGGCGAGCCTTCCAGCAGCTGTGGGGTTTTGTCACCAGTCCTTTTGTTGAACAGAGATGCCCATTATGTACACACTGGAGTCACCTGGGAGCTTTTTAAAAATTCAGATATTCAGGCCCTTCCCCAATCCAATTACACAAGAGTCTCGGGTGGAGCCTGAGCCTCTGGGTTTTTAAAAGCTCGCAGGCTCATTGCAAGGCTGAGACCGCCGTCACAGAAGGATCTGCAGAACCCTTAGTGAGGACCCGGGGACTTCCCTGCACCCATGAGCCAGGTCCGTTTCCCCATCCCCATCACCTGCTCATTCGCCCTTGAAGAAAAAGTATATGAACATATGTTCTGACTTTTAATAATTCCTCTGCCTTCCAGCAAGACCGGCCAAGGCTGCCAGCCGGGCAGGGTGATAAGCAGTTCCAGAGGCCAAGCGCAGACCACTGGTGGTCACTGGTAGCTGCTGAGAGGCCCCCCAGAGCCTAAAGCAGAGGTCACTGCAAGCCTGATGCTTGCACAAGACGGTCCCAGGCGTGGAGAGGGAGAACACTGGCTGCCAGGTGAGTCACCGATTTCTACAGCGCCACCGACAGGAATCACTAACCTCTCCTACATCCCCTGTTTCTAAACCTGATGGGGGAGACCTGGAGCTGCCCGGCCCTGTGCCCCTGCAGCGTACCCAGTAAACTGGGCCACGTCCAAAGGGACCGAACAGGACACTGTGTTTCAACCCAGACCTTTGAGATCTGAGGGAGCAGATTGTTTTGATTGACTCATTCAGAGCCACCTGAGTCTGCACTGAATCATTTCTCCTCAGCTCACCCACCCCACCTTCCATCAAGAGACAGAAGAGAAGCAGGTCATTTTCCATGGCCGGTGAGAAGTTGTTGACGGGCTTGCACTCCTCGGGGTCTTGAGCTCTGGCAATGAGCTTCTCTCTCCCTCCCTGTCTGCCTCTCCCTCCTTGGGGTCTGGACCCACGGGACCAGAGGAACTTGTTCTGTGACACAGGCCATTCCAAACTCACCCCCAAGCTTGTCAGACCGGTTAGCCTGGGCTTCTGCGGTTACTCCTTTTTTGGAATTCAGAGGACCTGAATTCCAAAATTCCCTTTACGTGAATTTTCCAAACTCGCTAGGAATTTTTCATTTGAGTTTTTTAAAAATTGTTTTTATTGATGGATTTTTTGAAAGAAAGAGGAATATTGATTTGTTGTTCCACTTCTCTATGCATTCATTGGTTGACTCTTGTATGTGCCCTGACCGGGGCTCGAACCCTCAAACCTGGTGTATCGGGACAACTCTCTAACTAACTGCGCTACCCGATAAGGGCTCATTTGAGTTTAATCAAGTCAAGATTAAGTTATAAACCTCAGTTTCATGCCCTGACCAGTATGTTTGGAGTGTCATCCTGTAACCGAAAGGTTGTGGGTTTGATTCCCGGTCAGGCGCACACCTGGGCTGTAGGTTCCATCCCTGGTCTGGGCGTGCATGGGGAGCAGTGAATTGATGCTTCTCTCTCGCATCAATATTTCTTTCTCTCATTTCCTCTCTCTCTAAAAGCAATGGCAAAAATGTCCCTGGGGGAGGATTAAAAAAAATAAACACCTGACTTTCACATTTAAGATTAGATATTTTTTCAGGGGTTGTGGGGTTTTCGGTCCCCAGCAGCCCAAGTGAAGGGAGTAGAAAGAGAACACAGATCTCTGTGGACGGTGGAAGCGAGCTGGGGTCCAGAGCTGGTTCCCACCCCAGTGTCCAGGCTCCGGTGGGCCCCTCGTGTCCCCAGAGCAGTTCTAGAGAGGGGTGGCTCTGAAGGCCTGAGGCGTGGGGCATGGGGCACTTCAAGGGTCAAGAGGCAACGGTAGGGTAGCTGTCAGCAGGCTGCTCCCTTGTGCAGGAGAAGGGCTTTGCTCGTTAAGTGCTCTCAGCTCAGCCACGGAAATGGGCTCATGGCCCATGTACCGGTTACCCCTAAACCTTGGGAGAGACGTCAGGCATGCCACAAGCACAGGCACGGAGAGAGCCACGGGCTGCATCCTTACCAGCTGGATGGGTGGGATTTACCTGCTCTGGCTTCTCATCACGGAGCTGACTTCCCGCTTCTCCCTTCATCTGAAATAAGAAAGCACAGGTGAGTCTGGATGTCATTTCCCATGCAACCAAGGACACAGGGAATGGAGAAGGTCAAGGAGAATGGCTAGCAGTGACTTTTTAATGCTTGCTACTCATGGGCAATCTAAAAAGTTGCTGTGGGCGTCAGTCATAGGAATCGGGGGGGTCGACAGTGGGACTTGGTCTGCCTGGAACGGGCTTCCTCAGACACGCGCTGCGACAAACGCTTCCTTTGGAACAGCCTCACGCTCTGGCCCAGTATGGCTCTGTCGCATCCAGAAGAAATCGCTGTCGCCTGAACTGTCCCCCAACTGCCAACGACCTATGGATTGTCATTCTCGTGCTATAGTATTTTTCATTTCAAAACCGAATGAAAACCCTCGGCGTCCTCTCCCGTGCGCACTCCTGCTCGTGTGTTCGCTCTCTTCTCAGCAGGCTCTCCGTCTACGGTTTTCCATTCTCCCCAGCCCCTCTCTCCCCCTGCCATTTTGTAATTATGAACGATCGTAAACACACACACAAAAGCTGAAAAAGTAGGACAAAAAATTTAAGGGTCAGAAATCAAGTAGTCTTAAAGATATTTTTTTAAGTATGTTTATTGATTTTAGAGAGGAGGAGAGACAGAACATTGACGTGAGAGAGAAACGTTGACCAGCTGCCCTGACGTGTACCCTAACCAGGGATCGAACCCTCAAACCAGGCGTGTGGTCTGACCGGGAATCAAACCCCCAGTTTTTGGTGTAGGGGATGACGCTCCAGTCAACCAGCCAGCACTCAAACAGTCTTGATATATAGCTACAAATGGTTAGAAGAAATAATGCATGAGACAACAAAAAAGGATGAAAATACTTAGTAGCCCGAACACGACATATGCAAAATCGAGGTGAAACTTTAAAATACTCCCGACGGACACAAATGTGGACTGGAACGAACAGAATGACCCGCCACATCCTTGGATGGGAAGACGCAGCTTCATAAAGCCACCAGTTTCTCCTACAGTAACTTAGAAATTAAAAGTTGTCTCAATATAGACACAGGTTGGTTTGTTATTGCTCCTGGAACCAGACAAACTGATTCTAAAATTTATGTGGAGAAACAAATAAGCAAGAACAGGCAGCAAAACACCAGAAAGGAAAAAGAACAGTGGAGAGGAAGGGGACCAGGGGTAGTAGGTCCAGCAGCTATAAAACCATATCGTAAAGCTTTTCAAAAGACACATTTACTCTCTTCTCATCATGTTACTAAAGAGTTATTGCTGTGAGATAAAGGAATGATTTAGCCAGGACTTAAACAGTTGTTCTAACTGGAGGGCGTTCAATTTTATATTCTTTGTCATTAACTGTGGGTTGGTTTACATACAAAGATCAAGGTTTTTCTGAAAACAATCAGCAGATCTGTGGAGCAGCCAATAGATATAAATGCCACAAATGAACCTCCTTTAAAAATGCAGCCTAACGACAATCAGCTAGAAGGAGAAGCATTTGTCGTGTGTTTGAGATCTCCTTGTGTAGGCACAACAGAATAAACCTTTCTGGGAGTCTTTAATAAAACCGATAGTTAATGAGTAGAGAAACTAAGGTTTGCTCGTTTTTATTTTTTAATGTGATGTTGCTGAGTTTCCCTAGTTACATAAAGAAAATGATACACACACACACACACAAAATTATTTTTTAATTTAAGGAATCCAAACAGTAGTCATTATGCTACTAGGTAACAATTCCAATATTAAAAAGGGATGAACACAGATTAAAAACCAATTGCATCTCTACTTAGACAGCAAAATAAACAAAAAGCACCAAAAGTCATTGTCTAATATATATGCTAAAAGAAATGTTTTTTGGCTATGTAAACATATTAAGTGTACTCTTCCCAGCTTTTATTTTTATGCAACACAAGTCAGTGCATACAGCAATAAATTACTTTGAATGAAAAAGTAAAAACCTTTATTCTAAGTAGATTCCATAGCACTTTAGAACTAGAATTTTGATCTAAGTTTGGGGGAGATATTTCATTTACAACAAGCTAATTCGTTACTATCAAGGACAATCATATGTCCCTCACACTTACACACATACTCCGTAGAACTGTGAAGTGTGATAAGGCGGAAACTTTCTGGAATTTCCCCATGCATTTGGAAAGCGCCGAAAGCCCAGTGAAAGCACTGAGAACAGGTGAGCACACGGGTAGGAGCCGCGTGCTGACCGCCTTTCGGCTGCCGTGCTTCCGTATGTGCAAAGTGGGGTTCGGAAACACCAGTTCCCTGCATCACGCCGATCACGAAGATGGGTGCCATCTCTGACGGTTCATCCTGCTCCTGTGCCCACAACGCCTGTCTGACCCCGTGGTGGCCCCGTTCTGAGGTCAAGGCCAGTGCACCAGCCATCTCCTGAAGCAGCATATCCTGTGGGTTTTGTGGCAGTGTTAGGGTTGTGTCTGCATTGTGTCTTCCATCTCTTGTGTGTGAACATCGAGTGTTTCAGACTGGTGCCCAAATTTGCCCTTGGAGTCGGAAACCCTTGGTCCAGGTTCGTACCCCTCAGTGTAGCATCCACAGTGTAGCATCTGACATCCCCCTACTGCCCAGCCCTGATTCTCAAGGAATTCATTGCTTGATTTGTCTGATGGTCTGATGGTCTGCATCTTCAGTGTGTATTCTGGCGACTTCTGTGTGCCCTTCTGATTGACCTTTTAAGTCTTGGCCTTTTTCAGTTCCTTCTTTATCACATTTCACAGCACTCATATGAAGTGTTTTGGCAACAAAGGTACAGTGTTTCTCTGTGCTTGAAACATGCCACAACTTTTCTGGGAAGCTGACAGCCTGGGGCAGTGGCTGGGTTTGGTGGGGAGGGTGTTTGAGTTGGCAGCCAGCTGGACTCTGTTGAGTATTCTGCTACCTGTTTTATTGTAAAGAATTAGTAAATGATGCCCTGGCTGGTGTGGCTCAGTGGATTGGGTGCCAGCCTGTGAACCTCGAGGTCACTGGTTCAATTCCCCGTCGGGGCACATGCCTGGGTTGCAGGCCAGGCCCCCAGTTGGGGTGTGTGAGAGGCAACCACACATTGATGTTTCTCTCCCTTTTTCTCTCCTTTCCCCTGTCTAAAACTAAATAAATAAAATCTTAAAAAAAAAAAAAAAAGAATAAATGAAAGGGCAGGGCTAGCCTATGTAGGCACTTATATAACAGATTGGAAAGTCCAGAAAATAAATGATAGGCTTAAGACATAAATGGGAGTTTATTATACGATACAAAGAAACCGATATTGTTGGAATGTCAATCGGCCAGATGCTGAACCTCCCCCGTAAAGAGAAATGTGAATCGAAACGACAAGGCAGTGTTATTTCTCACCCATCAGCGCGGCAAACATCCAAAATCTTGACCACATGCTCTGCTGGCAAAGCTAAGCGGACTTTAAAATTGTATTTGTTCTTTCTTTTTAAACATATCTTTCTTGATATATAGTTCACATACCATACAATTTACCTATTTAAAGCATACATGTCAAAGGCTTCTAGAACATTCACAGGGCTGTGCAACCACCACACCCACTGATTTCAGAATATCGTCATTACCCACAGGAGAAACCCTGCACTGCTCAGCCATCCTCTCCCACCCCCACTCTGGCCCCAGGCAGCTGTCAGTCCACTCTGTGTCTGTGGGCCTGCCTGTTCTGTTCCGGACGTCGCACAGCAGTGGGATCACGCCGTTGGTGGTTCTTCCTGACTGGCTTCTTTCACGGAGCCTCATGTTGTCAACACTCATACGTGTGCTTGCATGTATTGGGACTTCATTCTTTTTATTGCCAGGTAACATTCCCTTATGTGGATAGACCATATTTTGTTTATCCATTCATCTGCTGATGGACTTTTGGGTTGTTTTCACTTTGTGACTAATATAAAAAATGCTATGAGCATTCATGCATAAGTTCATGTGTGGACATATTTTTAAATTCCTCTATAATATATGCCTAGGAGTGGAATTGCTAGGGCACATGATAACTATATTTAACCTTTTGAGGACGGACCTACAAAACTGTTTTCCAAGTGGTTGCATCAGTTTATACCCCCAATTGACATGTGTGAGCATTCCAATTTTCTTCCCTCCTCGCCTATTAAATAGCATCATACCCTGGCTGAAGAGGAGCATGACAGACCAGCCGGTTCTGCCATGTGACCAGGGTGAAGGAGCCAAGGTGACCTGCTGCCCGAGTGATGGGAAATACCCCTGCTCCACGTCTAGGACAACAGCGTTACTTAGTGGTCTGGGGTGATACGGGTTCCAAAGAATTCTCCTTTTATTTATTTATTTTTTTAAAGATTTTATTTATTTATTTTTAGAGAGGGGAGGGAGAGAGAGAGATATCAATGTGCAGTTGCGGGGGGCTGTGGTCTGCAACCCAGGCATGTGCCCTGACTGGGAATCCAACCTGCAATGCTTTGGTTTGCAGCCTGCGCTCAATCCACTGAGCTACGCCAGCCAGGGCTCAGAATTCTCCTTTTAAATAGCGATTTTCTCTTCATTGTCCAGAGCATCTCCGGTTGGCCCAGTCCAGGGTTTGGTCCCTGTCATCATGGTGGTTAAGGCCCCATTCAGAGAAGCCACCCTTCTTTGCACAGCAATAGGATTGTGGGATGAGGCAGGTAATTTCTTTTTGTTTTTTGTTTTTAATTTTTAAAAACCCTGTCCTGAGGATACATTTATTGATTTGAGAGAGAGACACACACACACATCAGTCTGTTACCTCCCACATGTGCCCCGAGTGGGGGTCAAACCTGCAACCTAGTTATGTGCCCTGACCAAGAATCGATCCCACAACCTTTTGGTGCACAGAACAGGACACTCCAACTGAGTCGCCTGGCCAGGGCAAGGCAGGTCATTTGCAGTGTGCCTGCTGCCTGGAGTCCCCAAAAGCACAGATCATTAAGCATGAGGAAGGTAGTGGTATTGGGTCCCTTTCTTTGGGGAGAGCCTGGCAAGGGTCTTAACAACAAGGAAGCAAGTGTTAGAGGAAATGCCACAAGCTGGGAAAGACTCGGAGAGCAAACCGTTTGCAGGCGGGTGGAGCCTTGGCACCACCACGATTTCCCTCCTCAGTGCTTCTTGGGAAGAGTGAAAGGTTCTGTCGACCCTGTTAAGATGCTGAGGTCAGCATCCTCTTTGGGAGGTGAACTGAGGGGATTGTTTGTCCGTCTGTCTGTCTGCCTTTTAAGTTTCCAGGACTCTTTCTGAGATGCCATGCCATAGGAATGTCACTTACAAGTCAAAGTCTCCTTTCTAGCCTTTCCCCAGTGTCTTATCCTCACTGCTATCTGTGCTAAGAGCTTGCGAAGCAAATGACATTTGCTCTTTGATCTCTCCGAAGCTCACCCGATCCTTCCCAGAACATTTATGAAGAACTTACTCTGTGGAGGAGCCCTGGAGATGCAGAGAGAAGGGAGAAACTCTGTCTGGACACATACACTCATCATGCCAAAATCCACATAGCAAGCACTGGGCTAGAGGTCTGGGCCAGAGCTAAGAAAATCCCGAGCAGGGGAGGAGACCGGGCACACCCAGGCCATCCTCTGAGGAGGACAGTGTGCAGGCTTCCTCTGTGCTCACGGACACACGGTCTGCAACCTCAGCACTGAGCGTTCCCTCCCAGACCGGGTTTCGGCTCGTCCAAGGAAGGCTGGGTTTTCGTTCGACCATGCTTTCCTCTTTTTCTTGTTTTAAAACAAGACAGATGTAGAAAATCTGCCACATGAATATAAACTCTACCATTGAAGATATTCCTTACACCATTGTTTAGTTCCCCCAAAGAAATAGTGCACTTTTTATGAGGATGCAGATGACAAATTCCTATGAAGAAATGAGTGCACCAAAGTTTTTCTCTTTGGAAGAAGCGGCATGCTTTCTCGTGGAATGCGAAAAAGAAATAGTCAGTTTGTTCCTGCCCCCACCCTTTTTGCTTTGGCTGCCAGTAAACTCAGAGTTAAATTTAATGCTCAGTTATACTTCTTGGGATTTTTTTTCTATTATGTAATTCTGTGTATTAAAAATGATGTACAAGGATATTCATTGTGAAAAATTTTTTTTTGTTTTGTTTTCTTTATCCTCACTCAAGGACATTTTTTCATTGCTTTTAGAGCAAGAGGATGGGCGAGAGAGAAACATTGATAGGTTGCCTCCCATAGGCACCCAAACTAGGAATCGTAAGGGGACTAAACCTGCAACCCAAGCATGTACTCTGATGAGGAATTGAACCTGCAACCTTTTGGTTATGAGACAACATTCCAACCAGCTGAGCCACCCAGCCAAGGCATAGTGCAATTGTTTTTAATGGTTAAAGATTGGAAGCAACTTAAATTCCAGCAAAAAGGATTGCTTAGCCCTGGCTGGTATGGCTCAGTGGATTGAGCACTGGCCTGCGAACCAGAGATCACCAGTTTGATTCCCAGTCAGGGCACATGCTTGGGTTGCGAGCCAGGCCTCGATTTAGGGGCAAGCAAGAGGCAACCGATCCATGTATCTCTCACACATCAATGTTTCTCTCCCTCTCTTTCTCCCTCCCTTCCCCTCTCTCTAAAAGTAAATAAATTTTTTAAAAAAGAATTTTAAAAAAGAGAGGATTGCTTAAACAAATCACATTACATTCAGTAATGCAACATTCTGTAGCCATTAAAGAAATTAGGCAGTTTTGTGCGTATTGGCCAGAAGTATTAAGTGAAAAAAGCAATGCGTGGAACATTTGCAACTGTGCATGTGTGTATTTGCATGCTGTTTATGTGTGAATAAAATAATGTGTAACATTAGACTGGCATTGGAAAGATGTCTATGAAGCTGGTTATGATGGTGGCTTCCGGTGAGCTGAACTGGGCAGCTCAGGGCCAGGACAGAAGGGGGGCCATCTTTTCACTGCGTGCTTTTTTTTCTGTTGTGAATTCCGTGCCACGAGTATATTTTACCTACTCAGAAGATTACAGACACATTTAAACATTTTACAACAAATTCAGTGCCCACTCACAGGAAGCATTTTACTGAAGAGTCACAGAGTAATCTGCTGTCCCTTTACTCTAAATCAGATTAATTTCCACTCCTGACAGGCTTTGAGAAGTCTTTGTCTCTCTTGAATTTGTATGCCAACTTTTCCATGTTCATTTTTCAGGGTGGAAAGATCCCTGGCTCTCATTAGATTGTTAAAGGTAACAATGATAATTAAGAACTCGTGCCCTCAGATAAAGTGCTTCTCAGATAAGGTCAAGTGAAAGGAGTTTATCATCACCAAGCCCTTATTTTATGAAATGTTAAAGGGACTTATCTAAGAAAAAGAAGATAAAAAACATGTATAGTAAAATGACAGCAAACTCACAAGTATTAACAACCACACCTAAAACAAAAACAAAAACTAAGCAAACAACTAGAACAGGAACAGAAACACAGAAATGGAGATCACATGGACGGTTAGCAACAAGGGAGTGGGAGGAGGAGAGAGGGGGGAAAGGTACAGAGAATAAGTAGCATAGATGGTAGGGAGAAAATAGACAGGGAGAGGATAAGAATAGTATGGGAAATGTAGAAACTAAAGAATTTATGACACATGGACATGAACTAAAGGAAGGGAATGTAGGTGGGAGGGGCTGTGCAGGGTGGAGGGGAGTGAAGGGGGGAAATGGGACAACTGTAGTAGCATAATCAATAAAATATATTAAAAAAAGAACTGGTGCCCTGTTTCCTTTCCTCCTTCCTTCCTTCTTTCCTTCCTTCCTTCCTTCTTTCCATCCTCCCTTCCTCCTCTTCCCCTCCTTCCCTTCCTTTTCCTCTTCCTCCTCCTTTTTTTGTTAACACTTTTACATGGTCCGAAGGCAAAGCGATAGCAGGGAAGCACCTTGTTCTTTCCCTTACCGATCACCAGCTCCTCCACCCCATGAAAGCAGTATGAGAGATAATTGTTAAGTGCCTCAAGGTTTCTAATAAGCTTTTACTTATTTGAAACTGTTCTGTATATACCCTTTTATCGGAAGCTATCTCAAATTCTTTTGAGATGGAGGCTAGGGATAAAGTAAGTATAAATGAACAAACCCAGATATTAAAATTAAGAACAAAACCTAAGAGAAAGTAGGTCGATACAAGTACAACAGACTTTGACCTTGAGAGGAGGCAGCTCTGGTTGATTTCAAAAGGCACGGTGCTGACGCCCATTGTACCCATGTTATGAAAACTGAGTGTTGCTGAGACTGAGTGATTAAAGGCTGATAGATAAACTTGACCTTGGGACCCTCTGCTTCATGTAAACCTTCTGGCCAAAGTGAGAGTGACTCTTTATCTTTTGATGGTGGAGGGTTCATTTGGCTGCAGGAGTCACAGCACTTATCTGTTGACATCTGATTTCGGTAGAAGCAACCAAGTATTTCCTAACCTGCCTGTTTGTTCTTTGGCTAAGCCAATAGCCCATATGCTATCTCCTAAGATCCTTATCTAGGCAGCAGGCTCTTCTAAGCTACTCAGTCCTACCATTCTGCTAAATATTTTATGCCTAAGCAGCTTGTTTTCTGTACGTCCCTACCTGTCTGCAGACATGTTTTTACTTTTAAGTGAACAGAGTCCGTCAGAAAGATTCTAGGGAAGCCCCATGGTGGGCAGATGTGCCTTCACTTAGCGAAACTCCTTAACATTCTTTGCTAATAATGGTAGTGCTCAAGTTGGAAGTTTTGGCAGACTATCCCTGGATGGGTAGCTCAGTTGATTAGCGCATCCTTCTGATACACCAAGGTTGTGGGTTCGATCCCCAGGCAGGGCACATACAAGAAACACCCAATAAATGCATAAGTAAGTGTAACAACAAATCAATGTTTCTCTCTGTCAAAAAAATTGGCAAACAAAATTAACAATGATTAAATATTGAATATGTTAAAGTACTATAACCATCATATTTTGATTGTGCTTCCTCTATCTCTACCTTTTGAAGTCTCTCATCTAAAAACTGGAAGTTGTTTTAAGCTCATCTATTCCAATGCCCCCATTTTCCATCTAAAGAAATGGAGGCCTAAAGATACTCAATATTCAACTTCAAATTGCATGGCTATTTACTGGCAAACTTGAATTCAGCGCTCATTATACCACCTGAGTCTGCAAAAAGTGTAGAATGTGCTGATGTTGGTGAATGCAGAGTAGGCATCACGATTGTAACGGGACACAAAAGAATGAGATCAGCCTCTGTTTGCCATGAACAGTGGATTAGATATTGTGTCTGTGTGTGTTTTCAATACCAAAGGAAACATAGAATATCCTCGCCCAAGAATGTATTTATTAATGTGAGATAGAGAGAGACAGACAGACACCTATGTGAGATAGAAACATTGATTGGTTGCCTTCCGTGTACACCCAGACCGGGGATCAAACCTACAACCTGTTGTTATACAGGACAAAGCCCCAACCAACCGAGCCATTGGCCAGGGCAAAACATGTTTTTCTAAAATATTAATCATCCTTTCAAGAAACATTCCTTTTGTGCTAGATACATTGCTATACTCAAGGAATACAAAGATAAATAAGACATGCTTCCTGTTCTAGTTAATAAAGAATTACTATATAACTTTGATTTTTCCAAATGAGAAAGTATATAGGAGGAGATTATGAAATAGAATTTATGATGAGAATGTATTCAGGGAAGAGAAAGAAATGAATGCATTGTAAGTAAGTATTCTGATACTTTGTAACAATGAGTTGATTCCTCCTTAAAGGGAATTTGATATGTATTATGAAATTATTCAAATTAGATACTTTTTAGTGTGTTTTTTTCAAAAGCAGCCGATTCTCCCAATCTAGGTTAATGACACCGTGACGTTACAGCTGATGTTCATGACCTCGAGGATCTGAATACAGGACAGGGGATGGAAGCGAGGGTGGGGGGAGTGGAGAGAATTTAATGTTACGTTTTATTGTCTGTGGCCAGATTCTTTCAGATTCCAGGTTCCTGGATATCCAACATGGTTGAAGGATATTCCCCTTTTATAGGTATAAGATTCATAATCTTTATGTGAATGTGCAAGGTTTATTTGTAAACCTCTTGTAAAATTATGACAATTATTTACTTTTAGAGGAGAGGGAAAAAAAGAGCTTGTGGAGCATCTGGTCTACTGCTTCTTCTTTACAGCCAAGGAGATAGAGCCAACAAAGCATAACTGACTTGTTCCAAACGCCACACACTTCCTTGCAAAATCCAGGCTTCCTAACCCTTTGCCTACTGTCACATGTGTTTTTGGAATAGTGCAATTCTATTTCATCAGTGGGAAATGACCCAGGTAAAGGGCTAATGACATGGACTGAAGCTTCTGGTATTCAGGCTGTTTGTATCTTTAGCAAAGGCCGAGCAATCTGCTTATGGGGCCTCAGAGACAGACCTGAAATGCAGTGACACAGCTGAAAGACTGGTGAGGAGGGGTCTGAGGAGCTGCTATGACCAAGGTCTGTGCCTCAGTGAGACTTTTAAGGAAAAAGGTATTCGTCCGAGAAGATGAAATGCATGAAGGGAAAGGTTAAAGCCTCTGGGACAAAAACAACTCCCTCTGGGCAGTTTTAGCCATGCTCCCTTTCGCTGCTGCCCTGTACTTGAACCCTGGAGTACAGCCCCACTGGACTGCAGGCCCCAGAGGCTGAAAGCCTGCCCATCTTGTTTACTTTAGCTGTAGCAGCAAACACAAGTCTGGCACGTCGCAGATACCCAGGAAGCATTTGCCGAACAAGTAAAAGAAGGGGAAATGAATAAAAAGCATTATTTTTTGCCCTCAGAATGCATCCAGCATTTGCTGTTGAACACCTTAGCACTTTTCCGTATACTAACAGCTTCCCGGTCTAAGGTCAAACGTTGCTGCTCGCAGCACTTCTGTTTCACCCAGTAGAATGGAATCTTTCTATCCTGAGCAGAGAAATTTAGCTGGAGTTGCACATGAGTGGTGAAGCAGACCACAAGTCTGTCTGTTCCTTGTCTAGCTTGTCTTGCTTGTCGTGAGCTCCAAAGGGCCTGGGTGAGAACCCCAAACCCTGGGCCTATTGTTCACTCCCATCGGCACACCGACTGTATGCATCTCACCCAGTAAACTTTGTTGAGCCTGGATAACAGAACTGGCTCGTCCTGAACTCCACAGTGTCTGACAAAAGCCAGGCTTCCTAAACACTTTGCCTCGGCCTACGTGTGTTTTTGGATCAGCACAAATAAGTAGCACCTGCCATAGGTACTACCAGGCCACTAGCAATTCCAAAACCAGAGCCATTGTTGATAATCTCAGTATGTTGCATCAGAACAGCTTTGGCATGGGCCTTGACTGTTGTGGCTCAGTGGACTGAGTGCTGGCCTGGGTTGTGGGTTCGATTCCCAGTCAGGCTATATGCCTGGGTTGTGGGCCAGGTTCCCAGGTGGGGGCATGTCAGAGGCAACAGATTGATGTATCCCTTACCTTCTCTTTCTCCTTCCCTTTCTCTCTCTCTCTAAAAATAAAGAAGTAAAAAATTTTTTTTAAAATAAAACCAGCTTTGACATGGTTCTCTAGCTCCTAGCCCACACATCTATCTTGGGCTTTACATTTTAAGACTTGTAATTGGCCCCATCGCTTTCCAAGTGGCTTTGGCAGGTGAGAGAGGAGCAATTAGACCACAGCTGCTTCCTGCTAGTTTCTTCCAGTTAGATTTTCCTCTTTTGAGTTCTGACTCGGGAGTTTCTCCTACACATGGTTTTGAAGCCAGACCCAAGTCTGTAGGACAGAATCACCTGCCAACTGCTACCAAACAAGACTTCAGTGGAGGTACGTGGTACAAATAGAGGCAGAGGATGCAGGCGTCAGTGACAGGCACACAGGGTACTCTGTGCACTGAGAAAACGCCCTAGTAGCCAGCCACGTGCGAAAGAATGAAACTGGATGACTGCCTGTCAGCCAGACTGAAAAATGAACTCCAAATGGATTAAAGACTTGAATGTAAAGCCTGAAACCATAAAATACATGGAAGAAAACATAAATGCTGGGTTTCTGGACATCAGTCTTAACGATGTTTCTGTGAATTTAATTCCAATGGCAAGGGAAACTAAAGCCAAAATAAACAAATGGGACTGGTCAAACTAAAAAGCTTCTGTGCAACAAAGGAAACCATCAGCAAAATGCAAAGGGAACCTCCTGAATGGGAGAAGATGTTTGCAACCTTATACCCAATAAGCAGTTAATACCCAAAATATATAAAAAACTCAAATATCTTAACAACAACAACAACAAAAACCAATTAAAAATGGGCAAGGGCTCTACACTGGCATTTTTCCAAAGAAGACATGCAGGTGGGCAACGGGCACATGGAAAGATGCTCAACATCACTGATCATTAGGGAAACGTAAGTCAAAACCACAGTGAGATATCACCTCACACCTGCTGGAATGGCTATCCTCAAAAAAGACAAGAAGTAACGAATGTTGGTGACGATGAGGAGAAAAGAGACTCTTGTACACTGTTGGTGGGATTGTAGATTAGTGCAGCCACTGTGGAAACCAGTAGGAGGGTTCCTCAAACTGCCCTAAGACCCAGCTATTTCTCTTCCGGGTATTTATCTGAAGAACATGAAGTACTAATTCAAAAATATGTATGTAGCCCTGTCTGGTGTTGCTCAGTGGACTGAGCTGCGAATCAGGGGGTTGTGGGTTCAATTCCCAGTCAGGGCACATGCCTGGGTTGCGGGCCAGGTCCCCAATGGGGAGCACATGAGAAGCAACCACACTTTGATGTTTCTCTTTCTCTCTTTCTCCCTCCCTCTCTCTCTAAAAATAAATAAAATCTTTTAAAAAAGTGATCAATTTAAATATATATATATATATATATATATATGTATACATACATACCTATATTCATTGCAGCATTATTCACAATAGTCAAGAAAAGGAGGCCCTGGCTGGGAAGCTCAGTGGGTTAGAGCATCATCCCTTTACACCAAGGTTGTGGGCTCAATCCCTGATCAGGTCACATGCAAGAATCAACCAGTGCATGCATACTTAAGTGGAACAACAAATTGATGTTTCTCTCTCTCAAATCAATTAAAAAAAAAAATATGGGAATAACCCAAGTGTCCATTGACAACTAAATGGATAAAGAAAAGTGTGGTATATATACAATAGAATATTACTCAGCCATAAAAAAGTGAAATCCTGCCATTTATTTATTTATTTAAAGGTTTTATTTATTTATTTTTAGAGAGAGGGGATGGGAAGGAGAAAGAGATGGGGAGAGAAATATCAATGTGTGGTTGCCTCTTGTGTGCCCCCCACTGGGGATCTGGCCTGCATCCCAGGCTTGTGCCCTGACTGGGAATCAAACATTTGGTTCGCAGGCCAGTGCTCAGTCCACTGACCCACACACCAGCCAGGGCTAAATCCTGCTGTTTATGACAACATGAATTAATGTTTATGACATTAATACCTCAAAGGTATTATACTAAGTAAGTCAGGTGGAAAAAGATAAACACCATATGATTTCACTCATGTGTGGGATATAAAAACAGAAACAAATGAGCAAACGACAACAAAATAACCAAAAATCAAACTTACAGATAACAGATCAGTGGCTACCAGAGGGGAACAGGGGTGGAGGGAGGGCGAAACAGGTAAAGGGTCTGGACTGCATCGTGATGGAAGGAAGCTAGACTTCAGGGAGTGAGCATGACATAGCACATACATGTGGTGAATTATCATGCTGTACACCTGAAACTTACATAGTGTTATAAACCAATCTTACCTCAATTTAAACATTTTAGAATTAATTAAGAAAGAAGGAAGCTAGGGAGAAGGAAGAAAACATCCTGGGACATTGTTCAGATCTCACCTGTACTGAAAGTAGAGAGGACAAGGAGGTGGCAGAGGTGAGAAGAATGTACTTTGCCTTTCTTTAAATGAACTTGAACTGGTCTTGACCTTGGCAAACAGCTTCCCTCCCCAGCAGCTCCCGCTTACCTCTGCAGTAGGCTGCTTTCCAGCTCCTCCAAGGTCCTGGCCACAGCTCAAGGTTGCTGTTTCTTCCCCTTCGGCCCCTATTTCGTAGGTGGCTGTCGCCTAATCCTATTGTGCCCTGCTGTCGCTACTGGAGTGGGTCAAGAGGCTGGCCACAGAGATCGAGTTACACAGCAGCCCAATGGCTTGAGCCAGGCACGTGACGCAAGAAAAAAGTGTGGGTTTGTGTGGGCTGGAGACAAAAAACGCCCTTCTTGCCAAAGAACATCATCTCCTTTAAGCCCAGAGGAAACAGGACGTTCAGGCAGGAGCCTGAAAGAGCGTATTTGGCTAAACTCTGGGCTTTTTATTATTATTATTTTCTTTTTAAACTTCTTTCATCCCAGCTAAAGAAAGTGTTGCTGTCCCATAGGAGGCAGGTTCAATAAGAGATGTGGGTATCAGATAATGCGGCAAGCACAAGGCAGGCAGTCCAAGTGGATGCAAAGGTTACTCGGACCAGAGGACTCTTTTTATTGCTGCTGTTGCTGCGGAGGGCAGGCAAGGGAGAAGAGGTGCATCTGCTAATGTTAGTGAGTCTAGGAAGGGACACCTATAGAGGTGAAGTGTCCATGTTGATTGAAACAAGTGAGATTAGGATCCAGGACCCATGGCATGAGCACCTTTGAAAAAGAATAGAGCTTTTATTTTTAAATTTCTAAAAATTATGTTCGAATAGGCAATACGTGCATCTGTTATGAAATACAAAAGGGTCGAAAGAAAGGACAGTAAAAAGTGAGTCTTTTTTCATTTCTCCCCTGTGTTTTTCCTGTCTGTCCAAGGCTTGTTTATGTAAATACAAACATACGTCTGCCCCTCTTCTTGACAAACAGCGTACACATATGTGGTAGTCCTGCTCCTCACTTTTATGACTTAAAACTCAAACGCAGAGATTGATTACATAGTACCTTTCCGTGATACCACGTTCCTTTTAATGGCCGCATCCTGCCCCACCATTATACAGGTGTGTCATACTTTATTTGGCCCATAAAGGACTTGTTATATGTCTTCGTTATTTTTCCCTGCCTGATTGCTTGCACAATACAAGCACTCAATAAAGACTTAATGCTTGCTCATAAATTAATTACATTTTGTACAACTTGTTGATGTTTTTTCTTCATCTCTCCTTTCAGACGTACTGATAGCTTTTTCCATATTCCAGCTGTTTATATATATAATGTATCTATTCCCTGGCTGAACAAGTCTGTCTTGTGTACTGATCAAACCTTGCTACCTGACTTCCAAGGCCCACCTTAGTCTAGCTGCTCTTGTGTAACATTATTCCTCACCATTTTCTACTTTCGAATGCTCTAAGCATCACTGTCAAGTACGGGTATATATTGCTCACTTGCCACAGGCAGGCATTTTTTTCCTATTTCCAGGTACCCCTTACTTCCATGCCGTTGCTTATAATGATCCTCCCACCCAGTGTTTCTTTCCTGTTCCTGTCCACTCTTCTGCCTTCAGTTCTTTTCTTTCTGAAATTTTTTGTAGCTTATTATATGGTCAACACTCCCTGGAGGAGCAGGTAATGTTTTCTAGAATCATTTCCAATAGGAGCTTTGTGGACCTCCATGGCACTAACAACTCGGGCACACAGGTCCTCAGCAGAGCCTGCCTAAATGAGAATCTCTCCCAGTCCCCCTGGAGTTTCTCTCCCTCCCATCTTTGAGGAAGTGCTCAGCTTTCTTGGTTGGTCTCCTTGAAAGGAAGTGCTCTTGAGGGGGCCCGAGATCCTGGGAGAAGGCAGGTTTGGGTTCAACCTGAGAGCTGCCGCCCACCAGCTCTGTGAACTTGGCTTTTGAGTCTCAGTTCCTCATTTGTATAAGCGAGATGGATTAGAGGATCTCTGAGGCCCCTCCCAGTTCAAAAGTCTGATCATCTACAGTTGAGATGTATAACTGTTTACATTTTTCTGGAATACACTCCCTGTCCTGCACCCCAAGCAGACACAGCTGCTTAGAAACTTCCCAGGTATTCTGAAGCCCTCGGGTCCCATTGCTCCTAGAACATTACAGACTGTTATGGAAGTTCAAAGAAGATACTCAGTACTGGTCACATTAAAAAAAATCACAGAGACTTTTGAGATCTGGCAGTAACGTGAGAGATGCTGGATTTGTCCTATGTAATGCCACGGAGAGGGAGAGAGAGAAAAGAGAGGTTTAGAACTAAGCCCTGGCTGGCGTAGCTGAGTGGATTGAGCACGGGCTGCAAACCAAAGTGTCGCAGGTTCGATTCCCAGTCAGGGCACATGTATGGGTTGCAGGCCATGACCCCCAGCAACCGCACATTGATGTTTCTCTCTCTTTCTCCCTCCCTTCCTTCTCTAAAAATAAATAAATAAAATCTTAAAAAAAAAAAAAGAATTGGGAGAGGTTTAGAACTGACAAGAGAGTCCGCAAACACAAGTTTTAATTTCGTCTCTTTCCACTCGCCTATATTTTTATTTGCCTGCCTATAGGAAGAGATCTACAGCAGGGATCGATTTCTTCGTAAAGTACAGACTATTCATTTAGCAGCCTTGGGGATTTTTCACAATAATAATAATAATAATCAAAAAGATGTAGTGGCAATTAATTCTCAATCAGAGTCACCGAGTAAAATTACCTACATTGTTGCCTGACATTTCCATAGGCAACATTTACCATGCCTGGGAGAAGCTAGCTTTCTTTTCTTATCAAATTTAGTGTAATTCAATAAACAAAGTAAAATGTCCCTGCCTTAATTCCATTCTCTGTCTATGGGAGTCAAAGTAACTTTTAAAAACGTAAGTCAGTTCACATCATCCGGTGAGGAAAATCCTGCTGGGTTTTTGGAATGGAGTACAATTTTAAAGTCTCCGTAGAAGAAAAGGGGCCGCATTACAGGGTCCGGCAAAAGTAAGGCCTGCTCAAGTGTGAGATTACCAGAAGTAACCTTATTGGTAGGTTAATAGTAGTGGGGTGATAATTTATAGTTTTAATTTGAACATTTTCACCTAACATGTCATATGGTATTGTTGAGTGGGATATTGTTACGTTACAGAATCACATCCTTATGATTTTTACTTAAAAACAAACAAACCATGCTTATGATTTTGTTATAAAAGATTTTACAGTAAAACGAGGGGCGTTATTTTTGCCGGACCCTGTATTAACCCGACAAGCTCCGCGCAGACCTGCACCGCAGCCTTACAGACTCAGAGACCTGAAGTAACCACAAACGATGCTCTAAAATTACCGCTTATTAACTAAAAGCAGGTCATGGCAGGTAGTCATTCCCTAGGCCAGTATTTTTCCCTAACGAAGGTCAAGTTTTACCTGAGCTAAGCCTGTCTATTGTCTTTTCTGCATCTGTGATAATATACCCTTGGAATGTCAAGGTAACATCCCATTTTTTCCCAAAACCCCTTGGGCACAAGCTGAGACCAGAATCCCCTCATTGTTATTCTGCATTGTTGATTGTTAATTATCCTGTCTGTGCCCACCTACGTAAAAGAAGCATGTGTCTATCATTTTACTTTTATACAATCCCAGAGGGTTCCCTGCTTTGCTTTCTCCTGCCTCCCCTAATCTATCACCAACAGACTTCATGTAACTCTCTCTGGCTCCTCCTTTGATTCTAATGTGTAAAATAAGGTGCTTAAACTGCCTTCTCCAGAGCATTTCTCAGTCTGTTGAGATGTTGCTTCCCGGCAATTGTCGTCAGTTTGGCTCAAATAAACTCACCAAAAACTCTCTACAGCTTTAAATGTTTCTTTCATCAACACCTCCCAGACCTTGGCTCACCCGGCCTCTCTGTTTTCCTCTCTGGCCTCATCTTGGATCACGTTGCCTTTGCTCCCCCTCTCCAAAGCTGCCCTGGCCTTCCGGTACTACCTCTCACACGCAAAACTTCTTTTTCCTTTGCCTGGACTTGACTGCTCCCAGGTCCTCATGTCTCTCTTCTTGCCCTCAGGTCTGCCTACACGCGCCTTCCTAGAGAGGCCTTCTTTGACCTAAGCAATTTCCCCGATCTGTGCCCATCCCAGTTACTCTGTCACTTTTACCCCATTCGTTTCCTTCACGATAGTTATCCACGTTTCTCATTATCCTATTATTTCTTACTCAGTGCTTGTTTACTTGTTTTGTCGTCAGTCCCTGACACCAAATGTTAAGCTGCAGGAGGCCGGGAACCCTGTCCTGTTTCCTTCACCAGGGCATCCTCCAGGGTCAGCCCAGGCCCCTGCCCAGAGCAAATGGCCCATAAACAAAACTGGATAAACACCTCATCGCATATTAGAAGACACAAATCCCGGTCTTACCTCTGGGAGCTGGGTGACCTTAAGTTATTTTATGGTTTTCTGTGAAATTAGGGGAATAACTTATTTAGAACATCTTTACAGACCCTGTCAGCTTTGGAAGTCCTAAGGTCTATTATTATTATTGGTGGATTTTTAAATATTACTTCAACAGACCCCAAGGGAGAAGGAAAATCAAATAAAATCAAATGAAGTACAAATAAAATAGATTTATTATCTAGTTCTGGATTTAAAAATAATGAACTCTGAGCTCATCAGAGATCAGGTTTTCAGGCTGTCATTGAAGGATCAAAATAATCCTGAAATGCACAGTCATGAAATATGATATTTGCTTTATACTTAGAAGTTTGATAATCTGTTGATGGTTTTCAAGAGTCAGAAGGTTTTTCTATTATGTAGTAAAAGCACCGAGAAAAGAGAAAGTTAATCCCAGCTATACCAAGAAAAAAACCCAGCTGGGCGCATTCTTCAGTTGAATGTAAAGATAAATATATAATCTTGATAAGACATTACACAAAGTGACAGACCTTGGCTACTTTGGCCTGGGACGGAGCCCTCCAAGTGTGTCAGCACTCTGAGGCAGCAGTCGCCAATCTTTTTGTCACGAGGGACTTGTTATTCCATGGACGGGGTTTGACAGAAGGCGGAGCTTGGGGGGTGGGCGGGACAGGAGGCGGAGCTCAGGCCAGCTCCCCTTGCAGCCGGGTACCAAACAGGCCGCGGACCTGTGTTGGGGAACCAAACTCTGCTCTAAGGGCAACAAAGGTGTTTGAGACTTGGGCTCACAGGGTGATTTACAATGGTGCTATGTGCCTGGATTTATTTACCTTCTTCATTTTCAAAATATTTCAAACCCAAATATTTGTATTACATTTTATCTTTCTACATATCTTATATTTTAAGAAATGCACTCTGTTAAATTTATTTAGAATTGGGAGTAACAGAAAGGCCTGGCTGGCTAAGGATATCACCCTGATTCTTAAGGAGATCCATTTTACAACTAGTATTAATTTTTCTTAAACCTGTATGCTCCCAGCTGAGAAGATGTTTAAGCACTTTCTATACTTTGTAGTTCAAAAACAATAGTTTAAAAAAGTAAATACGAAATACATTATTTAATATATTCTCCAACTACCCTCTCATTTGGGGCCTTCCTCCCATGGAGAGCCAGTGACGTTGTTCTAATTTTGAACTAGTGTAAGTGCAGTATAAAACCCCAGCTTTACAACAAACACCTCAACACCTCCTGAAATGCAAACCATCTGTGTTTTACATTTATCTTCAATAACCTGAGAAATAAACACCATGCTCTGGGGGAAGGGGCTGGGGGGATGGAGACGTTTCCTGTTGGATTGTTTCAGTGCATACCAGGCCTGAGTGCCGCAGGAAAAAACAAAATTCCAAGAAAGTGTTGTGGGGGCTGTTCTTCATGTGACTAGCTCCTGATAGGGCTGTCCCTCCCTGAACCTAATTATAAGTGGGTGAAAGGATATTAGGAACTCACAGGACAAGGGGGAGTGTGTTGCCTGCCTTCTCTGTCACAGCACTGCTTGGCGGAATGACAAGTGTGCAGCTGAGCGCTAACAAAGTTTGAACATCTCAAGGATAACAGACAACCAGAAACAATTATTTATTGAATATACATGCATCTTCCTCAGTGTGGGAGTATTTATTCCACTTATTAATGCAGCCACTTTGTGACATAGTTACATCTCTGTTACAGATAAGCAGACAGACCCTCATTTGTAGGGGAAAGGAGTTGAGAAAGTACATTTGATACTGTATCCTGGGGACCAGGGTGAGGAGGTCATCCCCTGGAAAATAGCTTTTCGGAATCTAGTTTGAAATTGCTGCTTAAGGCCAGCTCTGCATTGGAAATGGAAGCTTTAGAAATGGAAGTGGGATTTTGGAGACTTCCCTTAGAGGGAAATCTTTAGAAGTAAAAAGGCCCAGTGACTTGGGGTGAGAGCCTCTAGGACTAGCATCATGCTTTGGGACGTCCACATCTCGTCTCCGGGACCGGGAGTTGGTAGGCGCGTGCAGGAGCTCAGTGCTTTGTCTTCTTTCTTACTGCTGGAGGCCACGAGGCAGCGATGCATCTCAGCCTGGTTAAATGATGCCAAGGACAGGCGCTGGCAAAGAGCCTTATTAAGGAGGGTGGGGGTAGGGGTGTCTTAGAGTCCTCTTAGGCTAGGCTTGGGCTCCGTTGCTCTCGCACCGAAAATCTGCCTACCGTGCTTAGCGTCCGCCAAGTCTTGGAGCTCTTCGGAAGGCTGGGCGACGCCTATGGTCGCCGGATGCTTTGCCCACGGGAGCCCGCGTCCTTCTTGTAACTCGAGCAGGTCCCGGTGGGCCCGTTGCTATGGTAACGTTGCTCGCCCGGCTCCTATAGGCCGGGAGGAGGGAGGCGGGCCTTGGCGGACGTCACCCACACTCGGTTTAGGGGTGCTGTCCCCACCTGTAAATAACTGTTTGCCTGGAAGAAAGCCGTGAGGTAGATGCTTTGTAAGTGAGGGGTTCAGGGGGGCGCATTAGTACAGAGTGAAGCATCAGAATCACGCCTCACCAACCTCCCCCCAAGTCCTCTCGTACCAAAGATTTTAAGGTCCTTCAAAGCAGGGGGGAGAAGGAGTAGTAACTTGGAATTTGGTCTGACCGGCCACTTCCCGTAGCCCATCCAGGCCACGCCCACGCAGGAGGGGCTAATTCTAGACCACGCCCCTTCCCCGGCGCCGGGGAGAGAACCAAAATGGAGGAATAGGGGTCAAGATTAAATTGAGTCAGCGCGACTAATCTCGCGAAGGCCTAGGGCGGGCCGTGTTCCGCATGCGTCCTTTGAGGCCACCCCGCCATTTGTGCGGCGCCCTCTTAGATGTGCGCCTGCGCGTTAGCTCCCGCGAGCTCACCGGTTGGGCGAACCCGCACGGAATCGCTGGGGCGCGCAGAAGGGGAGGAGCAGGCATGATCAGGCGCGCGCGCGTCGGGAGTGACGTAGAAGCAGGCGAGTTGGGAGGATCGGCTGGGTAGAGTGGTGCAGCCGTGTTGTTTGGTGAGCGGTGCGTAAGGCCGCTCTGGGCACGAGGGCGCCCGTCTCACTGGCCCGCTCGATCCTAGGAGCAGATCCGGGGCAGAGGGAAGAGAGCGCAGGGTCAGGGGCCGAAGCTCCTGCTCCGCGGAGTCCGCCAGCCAGCCCGCCCGCTCTCGCGGGCCCCGCCTGTCAGGGTAAGCGGGCTCGCGCTTACCAGAGAGGACGTGAGACGAGAGAGTGTGGGAGGCCATCTGGGCCTGTGGGAGGAAGGGGAGTGGGGCGTGTTGGGAGCCACGGTGTGTGAGACGAGAAAGACCGATGGAATAGTGGTAACATAACAACCAACTACCACAGGGTAATAGTATCCTAGTGCTGTGTGCCAAGATTTTACATAATACTTAAATATTCTTTATTCTGTTTAACTTCTACTGCAGTCTTCCGGGGTGTATACTGTTATTAAACCCATTTTATACGGTAGGAAAACTGAGGCATGAGAGAGGTTAAGTAATTTATACAAAGCCCCACAGCTAGTCGCTGGTTTGGCTTCGAACTTAGGTCCCTCTGGCCTCAGGGCCTGTAATTTTCATTGTTTTGCACGAAAGGTGGGTGGGTGGGCGGTTGAGGAGGGATGAGTGAGAAGGGAGTGGGTAATCCAGAACGCGAAGAGAATGGTGACGTGAGTTTGGAACCTTGCAGGCTTCCCCCTTCTTAGTTCTGGTGGCCCCCGCAACTTTTCCCTGCTGTTCTGCGGCTTTATGAACTTGAGCTGTTGCTCTGGAGCAGCCGACTCACAGGCCTGGGCCCGAGGGGTGGTTTTACTGCGGGTCAATCCGTGAGGTTCAGTGCGGAGTAGTAAGTAGTGTCTTCCAACAATGTGTGTTTTGGGGTACCCGGGAAGACGGCGGCGGCGACTGCGGTCCGTGGTTGTTTGTAGAGCGGCCCCTCTACCAATTTGCTGCCATTTCTTCTGATGTGCTTCTACTTCCTTTTCCATCTTGTGCATGCGCTGCAAAGCCTTTGTTCAGCGCTCTAGAAGGGGGACGTGATGTTTTCTGTTTTCTTGCACACTTAGGTTTAAAACAGGATCGGAAAAACCAAACATTTCATTTCCCAAGCTTGCTCAGGATTGCTTGCGGAGAAAGCTTTCACGTGGCTGTATCATTAGTTGCTCTTTTAGAGATTTGTTGGGTAAGCAAGGAGCTTTGTTTTGAAGTTGTTTTACAGTAGATGTAATCGGGAACGATCGTAACAGACTGTACTGGAGTTCAGCACAAGGCAGGGACTTCAATAATTCCTAGGGTGTGTGTGTGTGAGAGAGAGAGGGACCTTTCCTTCTGGCATAGTTTAGTACTGGGAAACAACAGGTATCAATTAGTACTTGTCTTTTGCTTTCATATGGAGCGAAGTAGCTCATGTGGAGTCGTTTTAAAGTCAGCCTGTGAGGCAAACATTGCATGTGATCAAATTCACCCTTAAAAATTCCTTAGGATATGACAGATCTGTTTGTCGGTGGATCCAGCAGGCTCAGTTTTTCCTTCATCTTGGAAACTCCTTACTGTCTCTTTGTTTATAACCCAGATAAAGCACTTAGGTTACCTTTAGGGACTGGGTTGCACAAACACACATATTCGAAGGGCGTAGTCGTTCTGCACGGTGAGGTGCTCTGAGATGCAGACACTGAGAGACTTGAAAAGAGGAAGACTAACCAAGGGGAACAGTGTGTGTGTGAGTCCCACCTCAGGCTTATTCTGGAGCATGTGCTCACTGAATGGAGAGTGGCAGGCAGAATTGCTGGTATTATTATTGTTATTTCACTTTTTGGCTAGCATATTCAGTAATTTATGCTAAGGTAAATGTGTATCCTATGACTCCTCTTCAGTTTTTGAGTGGCACTACATTACGGGCTTGCAAGCTATTGTCTGTTTCCTAACAGTTTTCCTAGATAAGAGTTTGGTGCAGGAATGTCATACATATTTTTGCCAATAGTTTGCTTTTGTGTTCCCCATTTGTCAGATATGTATAAGTATGGTTAGCTTTTTAAAAAAGAGACATTCTTTTTGAAATGGAAGTCATGATGCTACCTTTTTAAATGTCTCTGAATTTCAGTTTTTTTGCCTGTAAAACGTAGAGGAAGACAGCATTGTACCGTTTTACAAAGTTGTGAGTTTTCTCCACTGTTAATTTGAAGCAAAACCCCACATTGCATACCAGTCACATAATTTGCATTACCTCTAAATGATAAAGACTTTTAAAAACCATAACCACAATATAAAATAATACTCAAAACGGGGGGAGTGAGGAAAACCCTCACAAAAACCCAAAACAAAAAAGTAAAACCAGTAGTCATTGTTCATACTTCTAGTGGACTCAAAAATTAATCGCTTTTTTGCCCCCGCTAACCGTTTGTATAAAGCAGAACCCAAGTAAAGTCTATACATTTTGATTGGTTGATATGTCTCCTAAGAGTCTTTTAGTTTCATTTCTCACAATTTGTTGAAAAAGCTGGGTGGTTCTGTAGTTTCTGGGTTTTGCTAATTGTATCACTGTGCTATCATTTAACATGTCCCTCGGTCCTCTACATTTCCTGTAAGTTGATAGTTAAATTTGGAGGTGTGGTCAGATTCAAATTACATTTTTGGTGGTGAGGGGGGCAAAACTCCAGTCAAAATGTGCAGGGAAACATCTTGGCCAGCAGTGGAGCACACGTGCCGCAGTGGTCCCATGGGTGGTGAGGGAGCTGAGAATGCCTTCCGCCAGTGCTGTCATGGCTGTCCTTACGTCGTGTTTGAGGTGGTGCTGGTGTAAAACCTCCTGCACTGCCTGTCGTGTAAAGTGTAACATACACATTTACATACAGTACATAGTACTTGATAATGACAATAATTGATTAGGCTACTTGTTTGTGTACTTATGTACTATATAGACTATATTTCTATTGTTACTTAGAGGGAACTCTTTCAACTTATAAAAAAGTCTTGCTCTAAAACAGTACCCCGTGTTATACCTGCAGCAGCCTCGTACGTCTGGTGTTTACAGACTCTCTTGATTGTCAGTTTTTCTTGTGCTTGACTCAATCTTGTGGTGTTTTGTAGTTTCACATATGCACAGGTTTGTAGCCTGGGAACGGTAGGCTCTACTATATATAGCCAGGTGTGAAGTGGGCTGTGCCTTTTAGGTTTGTTTAAGTGTGTTCCATGATGTTTGCACAACTGTGAAATTGCCTAATGATGCATTTGTATTTCTCAGAATGTATTCTCTTAAGTGGTGCACAGTACCTGGTTGTCTCTTTTTTGTGATGATAACAGCTGTTGTGATTATTTTAACAGCTTTATTGAAGTATAATTTGAATATTATAAAACTTGCCTATTTTAATGTAGAGTTCAGTGATTTCTGGTAAATTTAATGCGTTTTGCAGTTACTATAATTGAGTTTGGGAACATTTCCATCACTTCAGGAAGATGACTCGTGCCCATTTTCTGCTAATCCCCATCCTGTCCCCATCCCACCTCTGTAGTCTACTTTCTGTCTTTATAGATTTGCCTTTTTTGCTTATTCCATATAAATGCCATTATGATTATTCATTAGGAATCACAAAATGGTGATATTCTATCATTGCATATTCATTTTCATTTATTAGCTGTATAACTTCTGAAGAAAAAACCTCAGCTCTTTGATTACTTCAAGGTAATCAAATAGGAAAGACAAGATACGATTTTAAAAAATACTAAGTTGATTCACTGGCATTCTCTCCAGTGGTGACCAATTAAGTTTATTTTCTTAGTTCACTATGAACTCATGGACTTAAACCTATCTGAGAAGTTAAAAAAATTTTTTAATCCTCACCCAACATTTTTTTCATTGCTTTTATTAGAGAGAGGAAGGGAGAGAGAGAAAGAGAGAGAAAGAAGTAATTAGTCGGTTGTCTTCCATAAGCACTTGACTGGGAATCGAATCTAAAACCTAGCTAAGTGCTGTGACCAGGAATCAAACCCGCAACCTTTCAGTTATGGGACAATGCTCCAACTGGCTGAGCCACACTGTCCAAGGCCTATCTGAGAAGTTCTTTTTTCTTCTTTTTTTAAGATTTTATTTATTTATTTTAAACAGAGGGGAAGGAAGGGGAGAGAGGGAGAGAAATATCAATGTGTGGTTGCCTGTCACGAGCCTTGCATTGGGGACCTGGCCTACAACCCAGACATGTGCCCTAATTGGGAATCAAACCAGCGACCATCTGGTTTGCAGGCAGGTGCTCAGTCCACTGAGCCACACCAGCCAGGGCATGAGAAGTTTTAATGCACTGTAGTAATTATCCATTATGGTTGTTCATGTTGTCTTTGACCAGACTGTAAGATTGTCTTAGCTGGGGAATCTGTTTGTAAAGGTTTAGTGTAAATACCTAATTGTCCCCTGTTTAAGCTGTTCTTTGCTGCTTGGAGGCCAAAGGCAATTTTTTGCCTGGGTCACTGTTGTTGCTTTTGCTTTTATGGAAACATCTCCAGGAGTGGTACTCACTTCCCCTGAAGTAATTTATGGTTGTGTTTTAAATGACCCTAAAAAAGAAGTACATTGTTTCGGTTAGGGAAATAAGGAAGCTAAGTGCTACCAATTTAACATTAATGGGCACAGGAATGGTTTAAAGCCCTTTTGCTGATTTAGGTTTAGAACCTAACAATTCTGAGTCCCAACCTTTTCTTAATTATGGTCAGATAGTAGAGTCCACACGCAGTCTGAAGTTCTGCCCCTTTTCTGATGTTCTTTATTTGTTCATTTGTAAGCCTTTCATTCATGCCTGTTGTGTACGGAGGATTGAGCAAACGGACTCTGCCTTTAAGGAGTGCCCACCTACACGTTAGGAAGAGACCACAGTCTACTTAAATTTCAGAGTAATCGTAGAAAGTCTGTGATTTCAGAGAAACATATGTTGAAGTGTAGAGTGCCTTAAATAAATGGAATCTTCAAAGGTTGCTTACAAACTGACAGATTGGTTTCTTAGAAGTTTTTCAGCGAAGCTGCTCTCTGGGAAGTGCGCTTTCGCCTTTCCCCCACGCCCTCCCCCGACGCGTTTTCCTGCCTCTCTCTTTCTGGAAAGTTCCAAAGGCCCTTCTTTTGCCTCAGTAGTTTCCTGAACCCATTTCTTTCACAGCTCACTTCTACTCCTGTGACTTTCTAAATAAACTTTTCCTTGTAGTTGAGTCTTGGCTCTGAATTCTTTCTTAGCCAGAACTCAAGTGCAGAGGCTGCTGGACCAAGGTCTGGTCTGACTCCACCTGTCTAACACAGTGGTGACTTTTTGCCCTCAACAGTTGTATCTTCGCGCTTAAAATGGTAGTCATTGCCCACTTTTGTCTGTTTAGCTGCTCAGTGATCTCTGAACAAAGAGGTCAATAGGGATGGTGTCAAAGCATCAACAGGGAGATCTTATCAGAGCTTAATTAGGGCTCCCAGTTAGGGAACCAAACTAAGGATCTTTTTAGCATTCAACTATACTCCCCTTGATTTAGAAGAACCAAACTGCACCCACATCTCATCTACCTAACAAAAATAATTTTTTTACCTTAATACTGACCTCTTGGTGGACTGAGGTCAACAAAGACAAGTGACATGAGAAATCGTGAATCTCAGAACCACACCAAGAGAGCCACTGGGAGCTCAGGCACACTTTTTGCACGTCTCCACGTTACCATCACAGTAATTTTTTAACACTCGGACAGTTTGAACAGTGCATGGCTTGTTTGTTGCTCTTGATAAATAGAAATTATTAAATAAGTCCATGGCCACACTTAAAAAATTATTTATTTATTTATTTATATTTAGAGATGGGAAGGGAAGGAGAAAGAGAGGGAGGGAAACATCATTGAGTGGTTGCCTGTCATGTGCCTCCTACTGATGACCTGGCCTGCAACCCAGGCATGTGCCCTGACTGGGAATTGAACTGGCGACCCTTTGGTTTTCAGGCCAGCATTCAATACACTGAGCCACACTAGCCAGGGCTCATGACGACTTTTTTTTTTTTAAGATTTTATTTATTTGTTTTTTAGAGAGGGAAGGGAGGGAGATAGAGAGAGAGAGAAACATCAATGTGTGGTTGCTGGGGGTTATGGCCTGGAACCCAGGCATGTACCCTGGCTGGGAATTGAACCTGCGACACTTTGGTTCGCAGCCTGCGCTCAATCCACTGAGCTACGCCAGTCAGGGCTATGACCGCTTTTAAGGGTAAAACAAACAGCGAGTCACAGGAGGAAATTTTCTATCTAATAATGGGAATTACTCAATTTTTATGAAGTTTTATAAAATACCATATTGACTTGTATATTTCATCTGTAGCATAAATGCAGCACCTTGCTTGTCTCTGTTTTGAAGGGGAAATAGTCCTTTCCTCCTCTTCAAATTATTTCATGGTCAGACTGCTTTAAAAACTGCAAATGGTCCTCCTAGTCAGTAAGAAAAAGTACACAGTGCTGAAATAGTATTTGCTGTTCTCTACAAACTTAAAGACTCTAGCAATGATTAAACAAAATTTTCAAAGCAAAGTAACATCCACAAGAACATAATTCTGACTAGAAAACTTATAAAAGAGGAGCAAAACTTAAATTAGTCCCAACAATAAAAAGATCAAAAGTTCCTGAGAGAAATGATGACACTTGGAAATGCCAATTTTGTTTTCTTGATTGTTACTGAAAAGTGGAAAGCAAAGATTTTCCTTGTTCTGTCCTTTGGAAGGGCATTTTAAACATTCATTTTACTGTTTCTAGGAATTTCCCTGAGTATGTACATTGGTACCCGCTCTCATACTTTATTGAGGATGCGTGTGGTGGGGTTGCCTTTTAGGTAAATGCCCTTATGGTGACTTCCTTTTAGTGTTTTTATGACTAAGCATTTCATGTTGAGTTTGCTAAAATAACAGCATTACTCCGAGGCTAAACCAGGTTGAGTTTTTATCCTGCAGAATACTGTCTTCTCCTGCTTCCTCCCAGAATATATACCATCAGTTAATTTTGTTTAAAAAAATTTTTTTTCAAAGATTTTGTTTATTTATTTTTAGGCAGGGGGAGGGAGAAAGAGATGGAGAGAAACATCAATGTTTGGCTGCCTCCTGGGGGTGCACCCCATGCTGGGGACCTGGCCCGCAACCCAGGCATGTGGTTGCATATGTACAACTCCCAACCCACTGAGCCACACCAGTCAGGGCAGTCATTCTGCTTTTGATTGATTTATTTATACCTGCTATCTTCTGTATCTTGATTGTTGAATTGCTGCTTGGTTTCTTTACAATATTATGTGTTTAAAAGTAGATATTAATAACTTAAATTCACATATTTCTTTTTTTTTAAGATTTTATTTATTTATTATTAGAGAGGGAAGGGGGGGAGAGAGAGAGAGAGAGAGAGAGAGAGAGAGAGAAAGAGAGAGAGAGAGAGAGAGAAAAACATCAACCTGCAGTTGCTGGGGGCCGTGGCCTGCAACCCAGGCATGTGCCCTGACTGGGAATCGAACCTGCAATACTTTGGTTCGCCGCAGCCCGTGGGCAATCCACTGAGCTACGCCAGCCAGGGCAAATTCACATATTTCTTGTGGCTGTTAAAGTTGAAATTAGTGTTTACCACTTAAATCCCTATTTGCACTAATCTAAGGAGATACTATATTAACTTTGCTAATTGCCTCTACTTCAATTTGACTTTTGAATTGTAGGGAAAAAGAATTTCTCTTATTTGTAGAATGGAGAGGGGCGTCCCATACCCATATCCATGGTATAGGTGCAAAGACTTAAGTGTAAGAGTTTAGATCCACATTCTTTCAGGCTTTCAGAGAACCTGGTAAATTTAAACTGGCTACAATGATTCCTTTAGAAACATTTCCATGTTGTAGTCTCTGAGCAAAGTTCTGTGAAGCTGTGAAAGTGACAGATAAGGGCATATTTGTGGTCACAGGGGACTCTTAGTCTTCAGGTGTTCTGGAGAGGGCAGGAAACTGGCTTAGGGTGGTGATTTTACTCCGGTGCTAAAGGGAAGCTTGGGCAAAAGTTTCTCCAGTTTTCTTAATAATTTTAGTTTCTTTAGGTTAAAGAACTGTGAGTGTGTGTGTGGAGAATAAATACTGTAATAGTCTTAATATTTTAGTTTAAATTGGTGACATGATAAAATATTGTTTTGATGCCTTTGTTTTGTTAATATAATAATATGTAAATTTATGTGATTACAAAATGTGTTTTTGAATCTAGATCAGATCAACCATTGGCTTGCCCTCTGTCATAGTCAGCTGAAGGTGCCTTCCGAAGCTTCTTCAGGATGCCTGCAGCACTTGTGGAGAATAGCCAGGTTATCTGTGAAGTCTGGGCCAGCAACCTAGAAGAGGAGATGAGGAAGATCCGAGAGATTGTGCTCAGTTACAGTTATATTGCGATGGTAAAGAGCTCTACTCTATTTGACCCACCTTCTGGTATGGACTTAGGGAATATTGAATGTGAGATTTTGAAATAAATGATTACATTAAAGTGATGGTAAATTAAACACGATGGAAGGTTATATTGCTTTCATGAAACATGGTGGTAGCCAGTATATATGAGAAGGATGTAATCTCTAGATATTTTTATAATGTTACTGTGTGTTTGAAAGTCTTCAAGGCAGAAGTATGTCAGCAGCAGAGCACATCTGTCCCTTAGATATGGCAAATTTGTATAGTATTTAAAATAATTTAAAAAAATTATTTGCCAACATTTAAAAATCAAGAGACCTTACTTAAATTCCAGATTTTTGCCATCTCTGGGAAAATTGGGAAGATGCAGCAATGTAGGGGCCACATTCCTGCCTGACATTGTGTGGCTGTGTATTATGTGGTGTCAAGGGCCAGCCCTTTTAGAGGAGACATGTAGTCTAGTTTGCTCCAGCACCCATTACATGCAACCATTTTTGTACCTAGTTTGCTTTATTCCTTTACACGAGCTGCTTGGAGTTTGTGACTTCTGCTGTAGAGCTTATAGAATGAAGTCTTAGGTTGGTATTTAGTATTCTCCATGATCTTGTTCTTTTTACTCAAGCTAAGTAAGGCTGTTGTTTTTTTCTGAATGGCATTTTCACCTCCCTATTTTTGTATTTTTATTCATATACTGTTCTCAACCTAGAATATTAATTTTTTTTTTATTGATTCTAGAGAGGGGCAGGGAAGGAGAAAGAGGGAGAGAATCATCAGTGTGAGAGAGATAGATTGGTTGCTTCTTGCATATGCCCCAACTGGGGACCATACCCACAACCCAGACATGTGCCCCGATTGGGAATCCAACTAGTGACCTTTGGGTTTGTAGGACGACACCCAACCAACTGAGCCAACCAGCGAGGGCTAGAGTATTCTTAATTGCCTATATATCTACCTGTTGTTAGTCACCTACTTCCATTCCTGTCCTGCGCAGGATCTGCAAGTTGTTGTGCAAAGCTTCATGATTTTAGTGCTTCTATAGGTGTCAACAGGATCAGTATTTAAAAAAAAATATTTTATTTATTTTTAGAGAGAGGGGAGGAGAGGGAGAAAGGGAGAGAAACATTGATGGGTTGCGTCTCACATGTCCCCAGCTGGGGACCTGGCCCACAACCCAAGCATGTGCCTTGACTGGGAACTGAACCAGCAACCTTTCAGCTCGCAGGCCGATGCTCAGTCCACTGAGCGACATCAGCCAGGGCCAGATCAATATTTGTATTTTAAGATATATTTTTCTGCCCAACCTTGGGACTTGTCACCTAACTTTTATAAATTGAGGTAAAAATTTTGTTTATGAATGACCAATTCAGCATCCAGTATTTTGTGAAACCTGATGATGAGAGACTTTTTCCTTTTCCAGGACACAGAATTTCCAGGTGTTGTGGTACGACCAATTGGTGAATTTCGTAGTTCCATAGATTACCAGTATCAGCTTTTACGGTGCAATGTTGACCTTTTAAAAATTATCCAGCTGGGCCTTACATTCACAAATGAGAAGGGAGAATATCCTTCTGGAATCAACACTTGGCAGTTCAACTTCAAATTCAACCTTACGTAAGTGTCTGAGACACTTTTGGGTGTTGTTCCTAGAACTGCTACATTTGTGTAGACTGATTTCTAACTGAATTTAATTTTAAGTTTTGTTTCCACCGAACTCAGGTAAGGGTTCAATGAAGCAGTGAAGCAGAGAATGGAATAGAGAATCTGAGAAAGTAAAGTTCCTCTTAAAGAACTGTTACAAGCTAACAATAAAAAGACAATCCAATTAAAAATGGGTAAAAGATCTGAATAGACTTATCTCCAAAGAAAATATGCAGATGGCCAGTAAGCCCATGAAAAGATGCTCAATCATGTCATTAGAGAAATGCAAATCAAAACCACAGTGAGATACCACTTCACACCCCTATGTGGCTATAATAAAAAAGTAACAAATGCTGATGAGGATGTGGAGAAATTAGAATACTCATACATTGTTACTGGAAATGTAAAATGGTACAGCCTCTTTGGAAAACAGTTTGGCTGTTCCTCAACAGGTTAAATGTAGAGTTACCATATGACCCAGCAATTTCACTCATGTCCAAGAGAAATGAAAACATGTCTGTGTAAAAACTTGGGTGCGAATATTCATAGCAGCATTATCCATAAGGACCCAAAAGTTGAAGCAACCCAAAGATGTGTGAACTGACAAATGAATAAATTAAACAGCGTATGCATGGAATTGAATGTTACGGGGCAGTAAAAAGGGAATGAAGTACTGATGTATGCTGTACATGGATGAACTTCAAAAACATGCTGAAGGAAAGAAGCCAGATGCAAAGGGACCCCATATATGATTCTGTTCATTTAAACTGTCCAAAGTAGGCACATCTACAGAGACAGGAAACAGATTAGTGGTTTCTAGAGCAGGGGTTGGGAAGGTTATGGGATAATGGGGAGTGATTGCTTAATGGCAACAGTGTTTCTTTTCGAGGTGATGAAATAATTTATAATTGGTGGTGGTGGTGGTGGTGGTGGTTGCATATCTGTGCTTTACTAAAAACTATTGAATTGTATACTTTAAATGAGTGAATTGTTTAGTATGTGAATTATATCTCAAAAAGACTTTAAAATTAAGTCAATTTTCTAGTTGAGAGATTAGTGTTTGAATTGAAGTTCTGCCATTTCTTTTTTTCTCTTTTTAAGATTTCATTTATTTAGTTTTTAGAGAGCGGAAGGGAGGGAGAAAGAGAGGGAGAGAAACATCAATGTGTGGTTGCCTCTCGCACGCCCCCTACTGGGGACCTGACCTGGCCTGCAACCCAGGCATGTAGCCTGCCTAGGAATTGAACCAAGGACCCTTTGGGTAGCAGGCTGGCACTCAGTCCACTGAGCCACACGAGCCAGGGCCAGCTGTTTCTTCACTGGTTGACTTTGGGTCAGTTTTTTCCCCTTTTGTGATTTAGTTTCCTTATCTGTAAAAGAGGGTTGTTAGTATCTTTCATAGTAAAAATAAGGTATAGAGTGGGTGCTAATCAAAGGTAGTTGAAACTGAAGACTGATAGTGGGAAAAATTGATGCAATTTTTTAAAAAGTTGTGATAAAAAAATAAAATCTACTGTCTTTGCACTGTTGTGAAACAGACCTTCAGAATTTTTTTATCTTGCAAATCTTAAACTTTATACCCATTGAATAACAAGTCCCTTTTTCTTCTCCCCCAAGCTCTTGGTAACTACCATTCTACTTTGTTTAGGTGGAATCTTACAGCATCTGTTGTTTTATGAATGACTTATTTCACTCAGTATGAAGTCATCAGGGTTCATCCATGTCGTAACACACGACAAAATTTCCTTCCTAAAATCGAATTGTGTGTTTAAGCTACATTCTGTGTCCTTCATCTGTTGATGGACATTTGGGTTGTTTCTACCTCTTACCTGTCAGAAATAGTGCTGCCATGTACATGGATGTGCCTGTACCTCTCTGAGACCCTGTTTGCAGTTCTTTTGGTTGTGTGCCCAGAAATGAGATTGCTGGATCATATGGTAATTCTGTTTTTAAGTTTTTGAGGGTGATATAATTTTTAAGGGAAAAATTGAGGGGAGACTATTATTTTGCTGATTGTTTGAGGTACTATTAGTGTATTTGTTATTGGGCTCCAGTTCTTTAATACTGCTTTGTTTAACTAGGCACCAGGGGCATTTGATAGCTCAGGGATAATTTTTTGATTATTGTCCATGTGTTTTAGAGAATTCTGAGTTTCAAAGAATAATTCTGGTAGATAATCTGGATCTTTAACTACATTATTTCAGTCCATTGCCAAAGCCTGATATTTGTAACAAAGCCTGATGATAACATAATATGCAAAATAATGTAATATTTTTATTGCAGAGTTTTTATTTAAAATAATGTTAAAAAAGGTTTTATTTATTTTTAGAGAGGGGGAACGGGAATGAGAAAGAGGGGAAGAGAAAGGTCAGTGTGTGGTTGCCTCTCACACGCCCCCTACTGGGGACCTGGCCTGCAGCCCAGGCATGTTCCCTGACTGGGAATCAGTCTAGTGACCCTTTGGTTCGCAGGCCTGCACTCAATCCACTGAGTTACACCAGCCAGGACAAAATAATGTTTATTTGAGGTGGAATAGAAGACTGTTCTTAATTAGTGGAAAAATTAAAATTGTGGTGGTTTTCTTTCTAGTTGTCTCACCCAAGTTTACATGAAAAAATGGAAACAGTGAATCCTAGTGGAAAAGGAGTTACTTCCCTACTTTTGTGTTATTTTAAATATTCCCTGTTTAAATTAAGTGACACATCTTTACAGTGAACTATTATGCCCGAGTTAGAAATGCCCACTACTTCTGTTACATTTCCCATCCGCTAAGAAGCGAATACCTTCTTTTTCAGGGAGGACATGTACTCCCAGGATTCCATCGATCTCCTTGCTAACTCAGGACTGCAGTTCCAGAAGCACGAAGAGGAAGGGATTGACACGTTGCACTTTGCAGAGCTGCTTATGACATCAGGGGTGGTTCTCTGTGACAACGTCAAATGGCTTTCATTTCACAGGTCAGCCCCAGAGAGTGTGTATCTCTTGATCTGGGAGCAGGAAATTGAATTATGATATTTTGGAAGTCTTACTGGCTCTGTCCTGTTGGTCACTAGCAGTTATGAAGTTGGAATGGTAACTGTTAACCCATGTTTGTTTTTCCAGAAACACTTTGGAGCTCATACTGGTTCATGTCACACAGTATTGGGCTCTATCACGTGGCTGTCAGCGGGTGTATTCCAAGTGGGAAGATGGAGGATGGGGAGGGTTGAAGCACTTGGTTGTCTTTTTCTTATCTTTTAAGTGGCTGGCCTGGAGTTGCCTATGTACTTGAAAGCCAGACTCTCCTTAGATGTTATTTATCCTTTGCAGTATTTTTTAAAAAGTTTTGTTGAATAAAAACTCACATTTATAAACCCTTACGTATTCTTATATATCTTCCATCTTAGTGTATATTTTATTTTTTAATGGAAAGTTCTGATTATAGTAGGACAAAGATCTTTGAAAGACTGAAAGGTCATGTCATAATCTGTGAGAAATAAAGTAGTTGAACACTGGGGCCTAATAACTGCTGCTTTTTCACCTTCGTGCCTCCTCCTTTCCTTGCAGTGGCTATGATTTCGGCTACATGGTAAAGTTACTTACAGATTCTCGCTTGCCAGAAGAGGAACATGAATTTTTTCATATTCTGAACCTTTTCTTCCCATCTATTTATGATGTGAAATACCTGATGAAGAGTTGCAAAAATCTTAAGGTACAATATTTTTCTTAATACTAGTAACAATAACAAAAAAACCCAAAAAAAGCAAACTTACATTTTGCTTTGTTATTTGTTCAGCATATATTCTTGTGCTCCTGCTAGGTGCCAGCATGGTGCTAGACAGGTTGTGTATAGAGCTGATTGGCACAGGAATTTGTGTGGTTACTGGCTTTAACCTGGGCATGAAGGGAGCCCCTCTGCTTCTCTCATCTTAAAGCTTTCTTTACTTAAGGTCCACGAAGCACATGAAACTTCGTAACGTGTGGAGTATGTGCTTTTTGTCAGGAATGGGGTCTGTCGTATACTAGACTCTCAGATCAGAGGAGTTCTCCAGCCTAGACCAACAATTTTCAACCACTGTGCCATAAGAATTTTTAGAGCGTGAAATACCTGATTAATTAGTCGGGCACTGACCTCTTTCCCCTTAGATTGTCAAATAAAAAAAAATTATGCCCTGGCTGGGTAGCTCATTTGAATAGAGCATTGTCCTGATACAGTAAGGTTGTAGATTCTGTCCCTAGTCAGGGCACATACAAGAAGCAACCAATGAAGGTATAAATAAGTGGGACACAAATCAATGTTTCTCTTTCTCTCTCCTCCCTCCCCCCCTTCTAAAATCAGTAAATTAAAAAAAAAATTGCATTAGCCAACACAGCAATAGCCAACACAGTAGTAGCTATGCAGTGTGAATTCCTTGTTCTTGAACCATAAATATATGTCATATAATAAGAGTTATATCTTATTGGTCATATTGCATAGTTAGGCTTTGTCTGATTGGTTTATTCTTAGTACCAGGTATCCTTATATAGAAGTATAGTGCCTGATTTTTTTTAAAAGTCACTTTGGAGCAAAAAGGTAGGTCATTTTATTATTAATATTTTTTGGTGTGTCACAGAATTTTATTTAGTAATTGTGTGTGTCATGAGATGAAAAAGGTTGAAAGTTGCTCCCCTAAACAGCGAAATAACTCACTACCCTAATAAATTATTGACATAAAAGGTTTGCTGTCTTGAATTAGATTGGCATTTACTGTTTCTTAAGCCTTGTTTTACAGCAGTTAGGACTTTATGGGGTAGAAATCTGGCAAAATTAATAATGAAGAAAGGAATGAAAAGTGGAATATAATACAGTGTATTATTTGGAGGGCTGGGGAAAGGCCTGATAGGCAAAAGGCCTGTTCCCACTTCTCATCAGCAAAAGAAACTCCAGAATGGACTTAGTTGATTCCAGTAGAGGAGTGCTAGGTCTGTAACATTGTCTTTGCTTTCCTTACATCTGTCTCCAGGGAGGTCTTCAGGAAGTTGCTGATCAGCTGGATTTGCAGAGAATCGGAAGGCAGCATCAGGCAGGATCAGACTCACTGCTGACGGGAATGGCGTTCTTCAGAATGAAGGAGGTAAGGCTAGGAGCTGGATGACCTTTGTGGGCTGAGGTTTGTTGAAGCCTTACAGTTTCTGTTGGAAGTTGATCACCTTGGAAGCAGTTGTTTTTCTGTTCGTTTTTTGGTTTGTAAGGATATTTAATATATTAAATGTAGTTTGGGAAGCAAAGAAGAATACTGAAATGGAGACCACTCAGCATGTCCAATCTAGAAGTGTATTTGGTGTCCTAGCCACTCTGAATGTTGCAATTATGTGTTTCTCTTCTAATTTCTATAATGCGAACACATTTGCTAGACCACCCACTTATCCCACGGCTAAGATCATATTCAACAGCTTTTCCTCTAAGGTTAGGAATAAGACAAGGATGTCCACTCTCACCAGTTTTATTCAACTTGGTATTGGAAGTTCTAGCCAGAACTTGTAGGCAAGAAAAAGAAACTAAAAGGCATCCAGAGCAAAAAAAGAGGAAGTAAAACTGTTGCTATTTTCAGATGACATATTGTTATATATGGAAACCTTAAAGACTCCGACAAAAAACCATTAGAACTAATAAATTCAGTAAAGTTTCAAGATACAAAATCAATATACAGAATTCTGTTGTGTTTCTTTATACTAATAATGAACTTTGAGAAAGAAATTAAGAAAACCCATTTATAATTGCATCAAAATGAATAAAATACCTTGGAATACATTTAACCAAAGACCTGTACGTTGAGCACTATAAGACATGGATGAAAGAAGTGAAGACGACACAAATGAGTGGAAAAATACTCTGCGATCGTGGATTAGAAGAACTGCTACTGTTAAAATGTCCATATTGCCCAAAGCAATCTTCAGATTCAGTGCAATCCCTATAGAATTCCAGTGGCATTTTTCACAGAAATAGAGCAATCCTAAAATTTGTGTGGAACCACAAAAGACTCCAAATAGAGCAATCTTGAGAAAGAACAAAGCTGGAGGCACCATTCTTCCTGAGTTTGCCGCCTGGAGTACAGTACTTTTGGCAGTGTCTGGAGGCACTTTTGGTTGTCACATCCTGTGGGGGCTTTGGGGGACAGTATGCTACTACTGTCCAAGGATCCTGCGAAACACCCTGCAGTACTACAATACACTGGACAAGCTATGCCCCACCCCTTCCAAGACTTATCCTGCCCAGTAGTCCCAGGGCTGAGATAACACCCTGTTATACGTGCTTAATGTCCACAATCTCACTCATGACAGACTGGCAGACGTGTTATAGTACTCTGTTCTAAAGACAGGGAACAGTGGCTTAGGGAGAGTTGAAGTGATTTTTGTAAGGTTACATGATGAGTCAGTCTGTAGAGCCCAAGCTCTTAACCATTGCACTGAGTTAAAAAGAGAAGGGGCATGCCCAGGCTGGTATAGCAAAGGGTTGCCAGTTCAATTCCTGGTCAAGGCACATGCTTAGGTTGCCGGCCAGGTCTCTGGCTGGGGGCGTGTGAGAGGCAACCAGTTAATGTGTCTCTGCCACATTGATGTTTCTCTCCCTCTCTTTCCGTCTCTCTAAAAATACAACCTTTACATTCCCCCCGCCCCCCAACCAATATGAAGGGACAAAATGGGACATTTATACTAAACAGCTGCAGCTGCAGCATGGGGATCCTGACAGTAAAAGAACTCACGGAGAAATAGACGTCTGTTCGGAAAGGAGCATGAAGAGGTTTGGCACCTTTCTTTATGGAATAGTTTCTGGTTGGCTAGATTTTTCAGGACTCCAAGAGAGCTGGGAGGTGTTGATGTCATAGTGTTGAGATTTGACATGATTCTTGGCATGACTCTTGGCGTGATTCTTACCATGGGTTCTCTGTCCCGTTCTGCAGTTGTTTTTTGAGGACAGTATTGATGATGCCAAGTACTGTGGGCGGCTCTATGGCCTGGGCACGGGAGTGGCCCAGAAGCAGAGTGAGGATGTGGACTCTGCCCAGGAGAAGATGAGCATTCTGGCGATCATCAACAACATGCAGCAGTGATGGCCCGAGGCCCTGCGGCGTGGGCCCGACCCCAGAGTGGTGCTTACTGAGTACTTACCTCCCTCCCCGAGAGAAACGCTTCTTTTGAGCAAACTGCCATCTGCATTGAGCAGAAAGACAATTTTGTTTTACCGAAGACAGAAGAGGTCTTTTAGATCCAGAAGAGGGGAGTTTGCTCTGCACTTGTAAACAGGTCTGACTTACTCCTCATCCCCAGGCCTCTTCTCCAGGTGCCTCCTGCCACCAGCATCCATGGCTCATGTGACACCTTTTAAAATATCCAGGATAAGTGAGAACCAAACTAGTAAAATGTATATAACTCTAACCTGTTGTCATTCTTTTTCTTTTAAATTTGTTGCTAATCTCTGAGGATAAAGACTTCTTGCTGTGATTCTCAGCTGAGCTGAGGGTTTCCAGGAAAAGTGGAACAAAATGGTATTCTTGCTAAGTGTGGGTGATAGGTATTGTCTTTTTTTTTCCTGAGACTTCTTGAGGACACTTGCTTTCCTCATACTGTTAGTCTTTTTTTTTTTTTTTTACATACTATTATATGGAAATAAATTACACACTCAGTGCTGAAATTTGAAGACTAGATAATGAAAACTTTCCTTAAAATTCTACTGAATCTGTCTACTCTTTATTCACGAGAGTGGGTATTAAATTAACCACTTAAGTGTCTGTGTGCTGTTGTGCCACTGAGATTTGCTGTCACATGTGCATCACTTGAAATCATTTTATGTTTTCATATAATAAAATCATGGGTTTGATCCTGAAGGAAATCAGTTAAGATCCGATTTTTGGATTATCAATCTGTTGTGATTTCAGACGGCTGTTTGTATTCCCCCACCTCTCCTCTCTGTTTTCCCTGCTTTTCCTGCCAGCAAACCTGATGAGACGCTAGGGAGATGGACTAATGTGGGTTCCAGGGACCGGAGTCTTTACAAAGTTTTAGTGGTTCATATAAACAGGGCAGTAAGGAATTTGGGTTATAGAGTTCTCTTGGAGTAATATCACACAACTGGGGTAGAAAGCTCAGGACTGTAATTTTTCCGGCCTAGTCATTTAAAAAGTACACTGTTTTCTTTTGAATGACTACAGTATGGACAATTTCGAAAAACCAAAAAAAAAAACCCATTTGCAATGGTGATGGAAATGAAAACTGGTAACTCATTGAAGTGGATGTCTTGCATTTTAAAAGCTTATAGAAAACTCAATTTGAAATGATTCAAAAATGTCAAGTATTATAAGCTGATATTTAAGATGCTTGTAAATATATTTATGTTTTTAATTTTGTATAATAAAGATTTCTTTTTAACCATTGGCATGAAGGTTTGGTTTTTCATAGCTGTGAGTTTCTGGCTTTAGAAATAGACGTTTGCTGTCAGTAACAGAAGCGTTTTGTCTGTCCCCAAACTCTTGCTTCCAGTTATCAAAGGGAAGCTTTTAATGAGCAGCTGTGTAAATGGAATCATCACGTCACACTTGTCGCTCATTATTGGGCCTTCTTAGAAACCAGTTTCAACTATTTTGGGGGACCAGCCCATTATATATGGTGATTTATCTTGTTAATTAGTGGAATTCTTGTATACAAATTGAACTTCTGATATCCTCAGAACTTAGTTTCTAGCCCTTTCTGTTGTCACCAAAAAATGTGGGGCTGTAAAGTGAGGTACAGGATATCTAGAGTTTTGACTGGCATGTTCACATACAGGATGTGAGATATTTATTACCAAGATTTGCAGTAAAAGCAGCATAGGTCAGTGGCTTCCAGCCAGGGTGCTTTGGTATGTGGGTGACTATGAGTTCTGCGCAGATGTCTTTCCAGATGGGAATTAAAATAGGAATCATCTTTGCCACAATTGAGGGCAGACTTGCTGACTTGTCAGGAGAAATGTTCAGATGAAGTGCTGAGTAATCCAGTGTTGAGTGGGGGTCTGGTCCTTTATTGCACGGGAGAGAGAAGAGCTTATTCAAGTGCTAAGGAAAGGGCACAAGTACAGTGGAATGGCAGGAACTCCGCCTTGTGTACGTACGAGTGTGTGCAGGGCTGTGTAGTGGTTATACGCAGGGAAGGATGCCCCTGAAGATGAGCCAGGAGAACGCTAACTGGGGGTGTAACTACTCCTCCACATGCACTGCCACATGTTCTCGAATTCAAGTTCTGCTAACCCAATCAAGGTGAATACCAAGCCTAGTTGTCAGCTAGTGCTGGTATGAATGAGCTCAGTTTAGAGACCTCTAAGTACAGGCTATTAATGAGTATTCTTTCAATTTCATAATTTACTCATTCAATAAGTTTCCACTAGGCATTGTAAGTAGGTGCTAGGGATAAAACAGCACAGAGAAAACAGTCTCTATCCTCACTGGAGTTTGCAGTCTGTGCTCCCAGACAGTAAATAGTTACCAAAACTACAGTTTGTGAACTGTGAAATATAGGACACTGATGTCCTTGAGTTTGAAGTTCAGGGACAGTCTTTTTGGAGAAAGGCCATTGAAGCTGAGACCGAAGAGATCAGCAAGGGTGGGTCAGGGGCAAAACCCTAGATGACAAGAGAACTTACTTGGTGGGTCCCAGCAATCAGGAGGCCAGTGTGGCTATAACTTACAGCAAGGATGAGAAATATCTTGAGAGATGACCAAAAGGTAAAGGCTGGTATCCAGCAGGACCTTGTAAGCCACATTCAAGGTGACCTTTTTTCCCCAGGAGCAGTGGGAAACTACTCCCCCCCCAAAATGGTATTGGCAAGATTTGGTGTGCACTTTAGAAGAGTCATTGATATATAAAAAAATGGAGAATTATTAGGCAAGTGCAGATATAGCATATTGGGAGGTGAATGTAGTCATCTGGGTAAGATGATGGTGGTTTGTATTAGACACCTTTAAAACTACTTTAGATGGCCTTGGCTGGTGTGGCTCAGTGGATTGGATGCCGGCCTGTGAACAGAGGGGTCGCCAGTTCAATTCCCTGTCTGGGCACATGCCTGGGTTGTGGGCTGGGGCAACTGGTCGGTGTTTCTCTCCCTCCCTTCTCCTCTCTCTGAAAATTAACATCTTTAAAAGAAAATTTACTTTGGATGGGGTGAAGGACCAAAACTTATTCTTTAGTTGTTTAACAATACATTTTATCCACTCAGAAAGTTTGAGTGAACTCAGTACTTTGGCTTTTTGGGGTTCTGATAATTAGAGATAGAAATAAAAACCATTTATTTAAACTAGAGTAGCCTGAGTACATTATATAGTGTTGGAAAGAGAGGAGTTTGAAAGGAAATAGAATTGCGAGATTTGTTATTTTTTGCTATTGGGTAGTTTTATTGCTTAGTTGTCCAATATTAATTCTTGTTCTCACCGAGGCAATAATAGCCAAGGATAAAACTGACAGGTGGTGGTTTTGGTAAACCACAAAGGTTTGAATTTCTGCTTGAATACATACATACTGCTCTTTACTCAAGTGGAAGGGAATATTTTTCCATCTCTGCAAGGGAAGCATTTGTCCATTTTAGCAAAGACTGGAGAACTGGAAGCTAGCTGTCTGCTTAGTCATGTCTATATCTTTGCAACCAAGAAGGTTCTCCAACCCCTACTAATAACCATCTTCTTCCTAAAGTGGATTTAACTGCGTAAAGACCTATGAGGATCAGTATTTCCACTTTTGAGTTTAGCATTTTTAAGTTCTAAAGCTAGGTCTAAACCAAACAAACAACCAACCAGTAAGTCACATTCTTTAAAACCGCCCCTTAAACCTTTTCCTTCGTAGAGAGTTCCTGTTAGTGAATTTCGTTAGTGCTGTCCACAAATAATCCCAGCCCTAGGAAAAAACTGAAAAATACACTGGACACTGAAGCAGAAAAGCCTTCACAATGAATTCCAAAAGAAAATAGTTCCAATCATTGGGAAAGTGTGCTCCCTCTCAACCCCATCAAACTAACTGGTAAGTCTTAGCAACTGGGTTATTATGGGAACATCTGTTTCTGACTTTGTTCCACTATTTACATAACCAAAGAGAAGAACGGACCTCAAAAGAGTGCTTATTAGCCAAAAAACAAAACAAAACCCCACCAAAACAAGGACTTGTAATTAAATAGTATGTAGGGTCCCACTGCACAATGATCCAAAAGTCCGAGTCCAATGATCCAAAACTTACATGTACAAAATTAGGAAGCAATATACATTTTTCTTCAAAGATCATCTGTGGCTTCAATCCGATCCCAAAAAGATTAAGAATGACTGCAACAGTCATTTCTTCCTGAGCTATTGTGATCACCAGTAAAACCGAAGGGATAAGACACATTTGAGTTATCTGTTCTTCTAACACTTTAGAGTAAGTGATACATGAAACAAGAAAACCAAACTTTTGACCTCAAGTTCAGACAGAGGGTGAAGCGTCCACATGATGGATAGGGCCCGTTTCACAATCAGCAGAAGTAGTAGCGAGCAGGAGGGGAGAGCCCACATTAACAAACACAATTTGAAAGATACCAACAGTCATAAACTGCAGCAATTCTGTCTCGAAGAATGACATGTTTACGATCAGAGGAAGCATTTATAAAGGTAGCTTGTGTATAAGAACATAACACTTTGGGTGATTACAAGTTTCTCCTCTTTGGGTGAAACCTACATAAGGCTTTAGAGATGATCAACAATCACTCTTGCAGGTATTAGTCCAAATAACTGCTGCTGGCTTTTAATGTCCTTCAGTAGGAAACCGTAAGTGAGTCCAAAGTCAGATTCTACTGTGTCTTAAGTGTACAGCTGATTCAAACTTGACCCTCATCTTGTATTATTTGGGTCATTACAAAAACATCTAGGGATCAGAGCAAATGTCTGGCAGAGGGGGAAGGTATCAGACATTTTGAATTTGGCACAGTTTATCTTAAAGGTCCTCGAAAGTTCACGTGCAGAAGGCCTGGCAGTGTCTTTGGTAAACTTGAGTGTTGCCGTATTTCTGAAGGAGCTCTCGGGCCTGTTGTTGCATTTCCTGGGTCACGTGGCCGGGACACTGGGACCCGATGTGCAGCAGGACGAGGCAGCACTCCAGCACATCTGGGAAGGGCCAGGTCTGAAAGATGACACGAAGTGAAACAAGGAAGCATTTGCAGAAGAGCCACAGACACCTGCCCAGCAGGCACTTGTAACTCAACATCTCATCTGCTGCCACTTTTCAGGCATAGCTGGACGATTTCTCGCACATTTCTCGCAATGTCTTATTCTCTATGGGGAGAGGGCACTCAAACCTGGGACGGCTGCGGGTACGCCCTTCTCCAACAGATACGACCTAACCTCCTAGAGCTCTACGCCAATTCATTTAAAATGTCCTGCTTCTATTGCTACTAGGGCTGCATCCAAGTACACCCACCCATCTGAAAACTATCAAATACATGGCAGCAACTTTATTTTTATTTATCTCCCAATTACAGAATTTGTTACATTTCTCAAAATTGCTTGTGTTGTCAATAATTCTACTCACAAGACATTTTAGCTGACCAACGACAACAGGGCCCTAACATTTCGAGCACACACAAACGCGTAAAGATTTCAGAAAATGAACAGAAGAGTAGATGACCTTCAAGAATTTGGTCTAGTCGCTGATAACACACAAAGTAATGTTTCACCAAATGAATCTTATCATCTTGCTGTAGATCTTACCTTGACACTCTCAGGAAACTTAGCTATTCTCTCATTCGCCTCCGTAAGCCTTTTGGTTAATTCAGGCAGAGAAACTGGCTCATTCTTCGCTTCTTTACTAGTAAATAATAATAAAAAGTGTAATAAGTGACTGTTATCTTGCCTTGGGTAACTTTTAACTATTATCTATAAATAAAACTCCTTTGTCACCTGGGTCTTTATCTCCCCATCTTTAAGTACAAAGTTCAACAGAAGGAACTTCAATGTGAAATGACATGAAGCTTTCAAAATGCAGTATTATTACCTATCATCTTCAAAATCCCCACTTCTTAGAAACAGAGTTCCAGTGAAAATATAGGACCCTGGGGATTCACCCCGAAGCCAAGAGCAGAGGGCCTGGGCGGCCCGGATTTATGTGGGGAATGGTCCGACAGAGCCGGGGCTCTTCCCCGGGGAGTGGACAGATGCGTGCTTTTCTGGGAAGAGTGTGTTAACCTTCTCAGGTTCTGTGATCCAAAGGTTAAGAGCTGCTGGGTGAGAGAACTTTCCAGTGTTTTTCTTGTTAAAACCAAACTTAAAGCTGCTTAGGGTGTGGACGCTTATTGGAGAAGTAACTCAAAACTCTGACTCAAAATTCCAGTGGGAGTATTTTTAGAACAAGAAATGTATGGGCTTCAAAACTTAAAATTTTGATTCTTTG